AAACCCTAAATATACTTGGGGCCACCATGGAAGCAGTTGTAAAGCACCGACATCGTTTGAGCCCGTTGGACCAAAGCCTCCCCTTCTCTGAGGGACGTAAGATCCCACTGGCTTAGAACCCGCTGGCCTTTCTCATCAGAATGTTTGGAGGGAAACCCCAAATCTTCAGTAATTCTCTTATAGCCTTTCCCCCAGGGCTGCTTTTCAAAGAGAAGACGGGACAAATACATCCCCTTGATAAAAAGAATAGAGTCCATTAGAGTCACCAGGGAAACATTCGTTTAGGTACTCTCCTGTGCTGAATGAAACCACAGGACCCTGGACAATGGATTCTGTGATGGTGAGCTGCCCAGGCAGGAGACTTTGCCTCACACGTAGAGGTGCGTCTCCGGCCGCTGCACCAGAGACAGCTCGCTGCCACTGCCCACGCTGCCAAGTTCCTTATCTCAGTACACGTGGCCATGAGTTCACCTTACTTTGATCCCTAATGTTCTGTAAAGTTTCAAACTTCCTCTAAAAGTCAAACCAGCAATGACCTATGCCAATCTAAAAGGTTTTATCTTCCGCAACGTCCAACAGATCAGACATTGGTCAAGTGAGGTCTCTCTGCCCCCACCAGCCACACTGAAACCGGAGAATTTCTGTTATGGAATGTGTTGTCCTGTATAATCAGCTGCCCTGAGTCGCCCGTCTCCCTCAGCAAACTTGCTCTGCCCTGGGAAAGCCCTATCCCCCGACAATGGCCAGGAAACTCATCAACTGATTACTCGGGGAATCCAGTCTAAGGTGGGGGTGGGGTGGGGAAGAGAACTCCACAGACCACCTAAGATTCAGGGGGTACTTCCTCCTCCGTGGGAATTCCATCTGCACACCACTGACTCCCCCGCCCACTCATGACTTAGCTCTGAGCCTGTTCCTCTGTGTCAGCAACTTCTACCCCAAGCTCCCTTCTTTGTCTACCTGTTCCCAGAGGATTAAGTAAATGACTCCCATTTAAAGGAATCCCTGCCACCATCACTGCTGTTCTGACTTCCATGCAGATGCGCTGCCATTCCAGGCGCTACCACCAGATAACTTCCTGCGGCCCTTTCCCAGAGTTCCCTAAGTTCCCTAGTAGCCGTATGCCCACTTAGGGTGCCTTCAGCCAATGAGGCCTCCTGCGAGCCACTAAGAGCTGCCCCAAGGCTGACTAAATGTGGGGGTGGCCTGAGTCACTTTCTTGTTTCCCTGAGAAAGAGACTCTGATACAAAACACCGACATTGATAAATAGGAACCGACACTCTGGTCATCTGTGCCTCGTGACAGCACCAGAGACCTACACCAGGGGCTGCAAGTCTCCCTTGGCATTTCAAAATTTAGGAGTGTGGATAGACATGTTCCTCTCTTCAGCTTACGGCCCCACCTTCTTAAAAGAAAGACAACAGTGAGAGAAGGTGTAGCAAATAAAACCCTGAACAAAGTAGCTCTAATCATTTAAAAAAACAGATGAACAGACAGATAAAGCTTTTTCCTACAGCCTCCCGAGTGAATTTTCTACCTGAGGGGCTGAGTTTATGCTCCTGCTCCTTCTTTTTCCAGCTGGGTAATTTGGGGGGAAAGATAGTTAGTTAATGGGCCTCTAAGCCCAGATTTCTCAGCTGCAACACAAAGACAATGATTTCCCTCTTGGACTGTTGTAGGAAGACAATGAAAACTCTTTGTCAACTGCTAACTGATATTTGCACATTACTTATTATTATTTTATGCCATCTCCCCCATTCCCAGACTTAGTAGATGACTTGCTTCCCACTTCTCAGAGAAAACAGACACCATCAGACTGGAATCCCTCAACTCCCCAACACCAAATGTGCGACCTACTGGCATCTGCTCCATGTTTTCATCTGCAAGAATAGCTGGGCTCCTCGGTCTGGGCCCAGTCCCCCTCCCTGAGCCTTGTGCGCATCCCTTGTGGTTGCCTTAGGAACTCCCTCTCTGCCTCATGAACTTCCTCTCCAGTACTTTGAACCTCCGCCTCTCAGCTGGATCTTTTCATCCGCCCTTAACTGTGATTTAGTGTCTCCCAGTAAAACCAAAGAAATTCTTTATTAAGTTGTTGTTGTCGTTGTTGTTTTAGGGTTTGCTCTGGATTTGTTGAGGGAGGGCATGAAGCTTGAGTGTGACTGACTCTTTTAGTCCTGCAGATAAAAGGGACCTATCTTTGTTCCTGGCTTGGGGACCAAGTCTTCAAAATGAGATGTCAATTGTCTTGCTTGGTCATTGAAGTCGGTACTATTAACGGGATTATTAAACTCCTGCAGAATCAGAGACCACCCCATATCACCGCCAACACCAAAAATATATTTAGAAGCCAGAGATTTTTTTTTTAAGTTTTTTTAAAAAATTATTTTTAAGCAATCTCTACACCCAAAGTGGGACTTGAACTTACAACCCCAAGATTAAGAGTCACAAGCTTTGCTGACTGATCCAGCCAGGTATCCCTGAGGCCAGGGATTCTCAAATGTTTTTCTGGCCTGGATCCCTTGGCAATCTAGAAAATCCATGGCTTCCCTGTCAGAGTAATACTAAATACTAAATAATAAACAATAATATAAAAAGGGAACAACTAATATAAAAAAAACCAATTATTATAAAATGGTGATATAGTAATAAATTTGCTTCTTTATCAAAGCATTTAATAGGAACATTTACAGGCAGGTTTACTACCACAATAATTTCAATGTAGCAATGAACATAAAGGATAGTGTAAGAAATCTGCAACAACCGTTGTATAATAGAAACATCTATGATTTCTATGGGCGATAAAGACACAGAACAACAGCTCTAATACCACTGTGCTTTGCTGCCTATACACATACCTGAAGGACACGGAGAATTTCAGTTACAAGTCAGGGAACATAAAGATGTAAGTACTTCCTAACTTTCAAGTTAGACACTCTGGATGCTGCCTGTGTATCCTGGGACAAGAGTTCCTGTTTTAGGGACACCTGGGTGGCCCAGTTGGTTAAGCATCTGCCTTCGGCTCATGTTGGGCTCCCTGCTCAGCTAGAAGACCGCTTCTCCCTCTCCCTCTGCTTCTCCCCCTCCCTCTGCTTCTCCCCACGCCTGTGCTCTTTCTCTCTCTCTGTCAAATAAATAAATGAAAGCTTCACAAAAAGTTCCTGTTGTATTTAATATTTATTTATTGATTGAGAGAGAGAAAGATAGAGCAAGCCAGGGGAGTGGCAGAGGGAGGGAGAGAATCTGGAGCAGACTCCTCATTGAGTGTGGAGCTTGACCCTGGTCTTGATTTCAAGACCCAAGCCAAAACCAAGAGTCAGAGGTTTAATCCACTGTACCACCCAGGCATCTCTAGAGTCCCTGTTTTAGATGGTGGTGCTGTTTCTTTCTTTCTTTTTTTAGAGCAGGCTCCATGCCCAGTGTGGAGCCCAATGTGGGGCTCGAATTCACAACCCTGAGATCAAGACCTGGGCTAAAGAATCAGATACTTGGGCGCCTGGGTGGCTCAGTGGGTTAAAGCCTCTGCCTTCGGCTCAGGCCCTGATCCCAGGGTTCTGGGATCGAGCCCCGCATCGGGCTCTCTGCTCAGCAGGAAGCCTGCTTCTCCCTCTCTCTCTCTCTGCCTACTTGTGATCTCTGTCAAATAAATAAATAAAATCTTAAAAAAAAAAAAAATCAGACACTTCACCAACTGAGCCACCTAGGCACCCCTAGACAGTACTGTTTCTGAACTCAGTTCTATTCCTTCTGTCCAAGAGCTATCCATAGGAGATTAGGGGCATGAAACAGCAACCACACCGAAGGGGGAAACATCATTCCACCCCGTCATGTTCCAAAAGGGACCAGTTAGGAAGTACCAATGCCATACTTGGGCATTCAGCCAAAGTCCTCTATTTTTAGAGTTTGGAAATAGACTAATAATGTGATTTCATTGAGAGCCAAACTTACCTGATGAGTGAGCCTGGACGTCTGTGAAACATAGACTTTCCTCAGGGAATCCCATAAATTACTTGGGATGGAAAGCCTGACAAAAGGCAGACGAATGTGTGTATGCGATTTTTAAACAAACATTGATATATTCTAATTCTTCTATTACAGTTTGCTTCTTTATAATGTCATATCATGAGTAATTTGTCAACAAACTCAGTTATCAAATATTAGCAGTGGCTACATAGTATTCTTTTATAAGCATATACGTAACTTATTTAATTAATCCCCAGGTTTGAGCATGTGGGGTGTGTACAATCTTTCATTATTATGTAAATAGTGCTCTGATGGGTGCTGTAGATTAAATCTTTGTCCACATTCTATTTTTATTTCCTTAGAATATTTCTATAAATGGAATAGCTGTGTCACAATTTAGTAATGCGCAAAAACAGCAATGCATATTTTAAAGATTTTTTGATCAGTACTGTCAAATCGTCCTCCAGAAAGGTTGTTCCTGTTCATGTCAGAACTGGAATCTTTGACCTTGGCTCTGAAGATAGCAAAAAGACCGGGAAAGAATGCTTCTAAATGGGGAGAAGTAAGAGGATCCTGAACTAGAAGCAGAAAGAGAGCAGGCCAGTGTTGTGCCTCTGACATTCTGTGTTTCTCTCGTGCTGGAAATAACCTTTAAGACAGAATGGGAACCAGGACTGATTCCTTAAAACCTGGGGTGCCTTTTGTTGACTGGATTTCAATCATTAGGATAAACCCAGCCTTGTACAGCTGTGGCAAGGGGAACAGGAGCGGGGTTTGTATCCATGTTTGGATATGGATATCTGGGTTTGTATCCAGATGAACAGTGGGAATACTGGAATCAGAGAGTACCCCAAAGGGAGAGCGGTTTCAAGTGGGAAGGTTGAGCAGAGCTGGCCCCTTGGTGTGTTACTTCCTGGGCTGGAAGTTCCCATCAGTGCTTTCCCTCCACAAGCAGAAGGGACTGAGTGGCGCTGATGTAGTATTGGAAGCCGTTTCTTCTTCCTCTTCCCCTTCCCCTTCTTCTCCTTCCTCTCCTCCTCCTCCTCTTTCTTCTCCTCCTCCTTCTTTCCCTCCATCTTTCCATGTTCTTTCCTTCGCAGCTAGACAATATATTCCAGAAGGGCAGAAACCACATGATGCTCCTTTGTATAACCAACAACAGTAAATATGGGGAAAAAATACTTGCTAATTCTTCTCACTGTCAAAATAAGGTATCAGATCTGGCCACAAATGATACTGGATGATTAAAATCTCAGGATACCTACTGACGACTCCCTCTTCTCTCTCATGCTTTTATAGATGCAGAATGGATTTTTTTTGTCATGCACAGAGACCAAAGATCAGTTCTCTCTCCATAATTCCATCTCCCAGATCTACAATTAGATTATTATCACCGTCTCGCACATCTTTCATCTGGGACTCCACAGAATGTGGTGGTTATCACCCTAAAATTTAGCTCCCCATTCAGACTATACAGGGTTAAAAGGTGCATCTATGAGACTTGGTATTTTGTCCTGTTACATACCCACACCAGGGACAGTGCCCTGCTCCCTGCCCAACCCGGGAGGGACATGAAGGCAGGTGAGGAACACACAACCCTGGGTAAGCATTTGCTGTCATTGGTGCTGACCCCATCAGCTCTCTCACACTCGGGGTTTGTGGGCGCTGCTTACACAAGAGCCTCTGGTCCCTTTCTTGTGTGACTTTTCTGGACTTCACTTCCTCCCTGCTATACTATAGTACTTGACCCCGACCACATAGATCACTCCTTCTTTCTCTCAATCTCTTACCCACCGCACCCTTGGTACCTACCTGACCCCTTCTGGCCAGCCAGAGGGCAATCCTCCCTTCTCTCGACTGCTTCCTGACATCCATGCTGTCATTTGTCAGAGGAGATCATCGCACAGAAAGTTAAATTGGATATAAAACTGTGCCGTCTAGTCAGTCTTGAATCCTGGTTTTTATTCCCCTCTAGCTGGGACTGAATTATCTCATTCTACTCTCCCATCCCCAGGCAGGCCTGGAAGGATCTGCACCAACCCCATACTTATCCCCGAGTATCCAGAGAGCGCCCAGTACAGGAAAGCTTAGCACACGATCCCCTCGCAGAGACTCCGCGATCTGTTTGGGTGGACAAAACAGCGCACAGGAAACGCAGAGCAACCGAAGCTGTATCCAATCACGCTCGCGTTTGTGTCCCAGATGAGGCCCCAGGAAGAAAACAAGTGTTTGCGGAATTTGGCGGCCAAGGCCCTTCATCCAAGCTTTATTGCACGTCCCCCGCGCGCCGCCCCCCCACCCCAATCCCGCGCCTTTCTCGCTGGGCATCCCCGAACCCGGCCCTCGAAATCCATCTACCAGAACCGGAGGGCGGGCTCTGGGTTCTTTCCCAGCGGTCCAGACCGGGGACCGAAGGGGGACGTTCTCCGGGTCTCCAGCACCCCCAGACGCCAGCCCGGCCGGGACCGGGCGAGGAGCCCCCGCTCCGGCCACGGACACGGCGGGCGGAGGGGAGCGCCGCGAGGTGCGCGCGGAGCGCGGCGGCGGGGTCGAGGGCAGGGGCGGGGAGGCGCCGCGCGCAGCCAATCCCCGGGCCGCCCCCTCCCCGCCGCCGCCAGCCGAGCCGGGGCGGGGGAGCCAGGCGGCGGCGGCGGCGGCGGCGGCGACGGAGGCTGCCGCGGGGAGGGATGGAGAGGGGAGGGGGGAGCGGAGCCGAGCGGAGACAGCCGCGGCGCTGCAGAGCGGCTGGGGCGGCGGCGCGGCTCCCGGTGCTGCCCCCGGCGCCCGCCCCGCGGCGGTGAGCGCCCGGCCCCGGAGGCGCCCGAGCCATGGGCTGCATCGGCTCCCGGACCGTGGGTGGGTACCGCGGCGGGGCGGGGGCGGGGACGGGCGGAGGCAGGCTCGGCCCGCGCCGCTCCCTGACCCCCTCCCCCACCGCCCCCCGGCGCCCCCCGGCCCCCGCCCCGGCCTGGCTCCCGCACTTTCCCCGCGCTCGGCTCTCCTCCGCGCTCTCCCCTCGCGCCTCCGGTGCCGGACGCCCTCCCGGCTGCTCCGCTCCCTCGTCTCCCTCCAGCCTCCTTCCGCCGTCCTCCCCCCGCGCCGCGGTCCCTCTCCATCATCTCTCCAGCAGCCTCCTCTCGCTACTCGCGCGTCCCCGCGCCCGCCACCTCCCGGCCATCCGCCTCGACCCTGCCTCCCCGCCCGCGCCTTTCTCCCCTTCCATTTCTGGGGCAGCCCCCTTCCAAGGACCCCCGGCCCCCGCCTCGGCCCCCGTCCCCCCGCCTCCGTCTGTCTTGGGTGTTTTGCTCCCACCTCTTTCCCTCTGTCTTGTTGCCTTTTTCTGCCGTTTCGGCCTCCCCCGATTCGCTTTGTTCACGTGCATCTTCCCTCCAGGGCGGGGGCGGGATGCGCCCGGTGCCTCGGGGAGGGGAACTGGGTCCACGCCCGGAGAAAACGGGGCCGGGCTGGGCTGGAGGAAAGGGCCGGGGGCGCGGGGAGGAGGCTGGGGGATTTAGAGGGGCGGACTGGGGTGGGGAGCCCGCTCCCAGGAGGGTGGGGCAGGCCGGCCGGAGGAACGGGGTCCAGCACCTGTCGGCGGGGGCTGGCGGGGCGGGGCCGCCTCTTTATTTACCTTGGACTGGGGGCGGGCACAGGCGCCTCCTAAGTCGTCTCTCCCCTCAGCCTTTGCCTTGCTTCCACCCCCTTACCCCCCGCCCCACGCACCCACTCACGCTCACAGCTCCATGAATTAGTCCAACCCTCTCCCAAACCCCCCAATTTTTCCCATTCCAACTCCCAATTTCTCCCGCCTACACGACCCAGTGACCTCAGGCTGAGAGAGTAAATCGTATTATTATTACAAACAAACTCACTCTCCGGAAGCCTGATTTCTCTGAGACCCCGTTTATTTCCATGGATACTCCCCTCCTCTGCTTTCACCTCTTCCTGGGGTTCTCTTCCCCCCCCTGCCCCCCCCCCCCAGCTCTGACTCAGCTCTCCCTCCTCTACAAAGGCCACCCCCCTCCTTCTCTGCCCTCCTCATCCCTCCTCTTCTCTGCCCCCTTCCTACTCTCTACCCTAGGGGTCAATTATTTCCTCTTCCCTGACAGCCACAGCCCCTGGTCTGACCCATCTCATCACTCCCCTGTAGCTCCAAGGGAGAGGGGCTCACTTAGGAGGGGGCTACCTCCTTCCCACCCATTAACCACCATCCCTTTTGCACTAGCTGTGTGGATTCCTGCTGAATGCCTCCCCATGCTTAAGCAAGCCATCTGATGGTTGAGTCCCTTTCCAACTGCCCAAGGGGTTCTTCCCCAACCTCTCAGGAGAGGCACCACCCTGCCCTCTTGCCAGCATCTGCCTTGGCCACAAGCTCTGGCTTCACCTGAACCATTCCCAGCCTCCTCTGCCCTCCAGCTCTCCAGTCCGCCCTCAAATCCTGTCCACCAGCCCCCTCATTATTTTTTGTCTTCTCCTTGACTTGAATGCCTATTCTTTTAGGTCCTCTTTTTAAAAGTCCCCTTCTCTTCTCCCCCTGTGCCATTTTGCTCCTATTCCATCCATGGCCTGTCTCCCACCAGTCAGGGCAGATGATCGCATCTCAGTCTTTCCTTTCTCCCCTCTCACCATTTCTGAGTGAACATACCCAAATCCTGCCTTTATCCCTGCCAAACCTGCTTCCCGCCAGAGAGATTCACCAACTCCAAGATACAAGTCACAAAGCCCACATATAGAGAAGCTTACCCCTAAAGAAGTTGTGCCCTTATTTGTGTTAACAGAATGGATGAAAGGCACCGTTCCCATATACTCCCATATAGAAACCCTCAAAGATTCCTCAGGACAGGATAAAGAATGGTTTTCCTGGTAAAACCCAACCACTGACTCCTCCATTTAAACAACAACAAATAAGGATATAAACACTTTCTCTGAGTATGCTATTCTTGGGTGAGCTCAAAGGGAATATTCTGGCTCAGCATTAGGGTTTGTCCTACCAAAAATTGGGGAAGAGTAGGGACCAGAAAGGAATGTACTTTCAGAAGGAGTGGGAGCTGGAGGGAAGGGAGGGTTCTGGGGGTCTGCCCCTGAGCAACACTCTGCAACCCTGGAAGGGTCTTTTGGGGGGGGATCGGCAGGGGGTGTTGAAGGTGGAGCAACTAATGAGCCTGTGGCTACTTCAGGGAATGAGGTGATTGCAGTGGACTGGAAGGGCCTGAAGGATGTCGACCAGATCCACATGGACAGCACCAGCTCGCTGCACGGGAGCAGTCTCCACCGGCCGTCCACTGAGGTGAGACCCCATGCCCGGCTGCCCCCTAGCCAAAGGAGTTTGTTTGTTTTTTGTTTTTTTTTTTTTTTTTTACATTTTATTTATTTATTTGTGTGTGAGAGAGAGTGAGCGGGGGAGGCACAGAGGCAGAGGGAGGAAGCAGGCTCTTTGCTGAGCAGGGAGCCCAAAGTGGGACTCCATCCCAGGACCCTGGGATCAGGACTGGAGGGGAAGGCACATGCTTAACTGACTGAGCCACCCAGGCGCAGCAACCGAAGGACTTTTCAAAGACCCCAGAAACCCTCATGAACAAAGCCTCCCAGCTGCCTGATCCTTGAATTATCTTCCTAAATTCCAAGGGAACAGCCCAAATACTTCTTCAGACTGACACTTTTAAGGAACATTTCTCCTGCTTTCCTCAAAACACAGGCCAAATGTTCCACATTGAACTCCTAATCCCGTAAATTAAGCTGGGGAAAAACCTCTCTACTTCACACACTCCTGGAAGTCCCTGGAATGGGGGGTGGGGTGCGGGCTACGTGCATTCCTGGGAGTGCCTGGGATCCCCACTCCATTTGCTCTCTCCTCACAGCAAAGCCGGACTGATTTCTCCTGGGACGGCATCAATGTGAGTGCAGCCAGCCCTCCCCAGGGCACCCTAGCTCCTCTCCCTTATACTCTCCCTTGATGTGCCACAGCGGGCACCATGAACCTCACATTTCCTAAGGATTCCCCATATTTTCAAGGGCAGTTGTGGGATAAGCGTCCTTGGGACTCCTGGGCATAATGTTTCCCCATCACCTGCCCTAACTCAGACCCTTTCTCCTGGAAGCTCTGAACTCCTCTCTGCCCCTCCTCCACGTTCCCTCTCCCAGCTCTCCATGGAGGACACCACTTCCATTCTTCCAAAGCTGAAGCGAAACTCTAACGCCTATGGCATTGGGGCCCTGGCCAAGTCATCCTTCTCAGGTGAGACTCCTGACCTGGGGATGCATCCAGACAGGAGAATACTTATGCGCTCCTGGTCTCAGTCTCCTTGCTCCTTGAGGCCTAAAGAAGACTCCTACCCCTGACCTATTTGCCCTTTCCATCAAGCCCTCCTGTCTAGGCTGCCCATCACATGGAGCTCCCGCATCGGATGGAGTCCCATGGGACTTGGGTGGGGACACGGGGTGGATCTTGTATGGGTATTGTGTGCTATTCTGGAGGATGTGGAGAATGTCTGGCCCCTCAGGGATTTCTCGCAGCATGAAGGACCATGTGACGAAGCCCACAGCCATGGGGCAAGGCCGGGTGGCCCACATGATTGAGTGGCAGGGCTGGGGGAAGACACCAGCCATTCAGCCACAACACGAGGCGGTGCGCCGGGATACTGATGCCTACTCGGACCTCAGCGATGGCGAGAAGGAGGCACGTTTCCTAGCAGGTACTTATTCTGGGGACCCTCAAGAGACATGTTTTCAGGATGACTAGAGATTGACCTTCCAGCCCAATCCCTGATGGTAGGATTGGCTCTGTCCATATGATGAACATAGTCATAATTTCCCCATCAGCTCCGATTTCAAGTACTTTGACTGATTCGGGTAGGTGCCCTCAAACTTATTTTTATTATTATCTCAGAAATTAAAGAGAATTACATGGGACTATGGGTCCACCTGTTCCAAATTCCTTCTTTCCTAAATGGCAGCACTATCAGTATAGATCAAAAAGGCAGGGGCCTTCAACTCTGAAAGACTTTCCTTCCACTCATGTCTCTTGAGGAAAAAGAAGAAAAGGCAGTGGGAAGTCCCTTCGAGACTTTGCCCCTCAGCACATTGCAGTAGTGGGTTCACTTACTTGACTCATTGCTTATGACAGCCCCTAGAAGATCAAGGAAGCTTGGTGAGGTGAGGGTGGTAGACAGAAGAGGTTTCGGTTCAGGACAGTGGAATCCCTGCAAGACAGGCATATGGCGTGATTACAGTAAGACAGCTGGGAAGAATGATAGATCTGGAAGAGAAGGGAGGTCTCTCTGTGCTGGTGCCATGAAGGTAGAACTATCAGCAGGGAGGGGGGAGACAAACGTGTATTCATAGGGGGTAGTCTAGGGCAATTGGAAATGTAAGCTTCAACCTACAGCTTTGACTAGAATGGGGACCCACAGATCTACCCAGCCTCCCTAGTCTGCCCTCCCTCCCTTCTCCCAGTTGCTGGAACTTTCCTCTTGATACCACTGTGGACCTACAAGCCCATGGTGCTTCCTTGGGGATTTTCTATTGAAATTGAGCCCCCTCATTTAGTTTCCCCTGTCTTTGATGACCTAGTACTGGCTAATATTCTTAAAACCGTCCAAAGAGAAACTTCTGGAAATTCCTCATTTAAATCCCTTTAGATATCTCACCAGAAGGACCCCCCCCCCCACCAACTCTCTCAGTTTAGAATTCTTAACCTGACCTCTGGAAGTTCCACATGGTTTTGCCTTGTGTGGGGGTTAGTCTGTGCTATCCCATATAGTAGCCACTTGAATGTGAACTTGAAATGTGTCTGAATGGAGATGTACAGTCAGTGTAAAAGACCAGCTGGATTTCAAAAACATGTATGAATAAAATAATGTGACATACCTTGTTAATAATTTTTATATGGATGACATGTTGAAAGATAATCCAAGATATATGTTGGGTTAAATAAGATATGTTATAAAAATTAATTTCACCTGCTTCTTTTATGTTTTCTTTAATATGGCTGTGAGAAAATTTTAAATTGCACAGGTGGCTTGCATTGTATTTCTAGGACAGTGCTGCCCCCATGTCACCAAACCCTGCACGTTTGTCTAAGAGTTCCAGAGGTATCTCGTGCCAACTCTGTTTCTTCTTGCAGGTGTCATGGAACAGTTCGCTATCTCTGAGGCCACACTCATGGCCTGGTCTTCCATGGATGGCGAGGACATGAGTGTCAACTCCACCCAGGAGCCACTGGGCTGCAACTACAGTGACAACTACCAGGAGCTGATGGAGAGTCAAGGTGAGGGATGGCCCCTCCGAGGTCTGAGAGGCCTCCCCGACTTCACTGGTCTCCCTCCATTCCTGTGGGCTCCTGGTTCGTCTCAGCTTTCCTTTTCTCATCCCTACGCTGTTGCCCTCTCTATTCAGTTTTGTGGGCTGTTGCTGCCACCTTCAGTGTTCTGTGACCCTGCTGACTTCCCTGATTCTCTTTACAGATGCCCTGGCTCAAGGCCCCATGGATGGATGGCCTCACTCCTATGTGTCCCAGGGCATGTACTGTCTGGGGTCATCGGATGCCTGGGAAGCCAGCGACCAGTCCCTCATTGCCTCTCCCGCCACGGGATCCTATCTTGGCCCTGCATTTGATGACTCCCAGCCTAGCTTGCATGAAATGGGGCCTTCCCAGCCTGCTTGCGGATACTCTGCTCAGGAGCCTCCACCTTTGCTGGCGTCAGACACGGACTGGGCTCCGGGGATGGGGGGAGTGGACCTGGCAAGGGGCCCTGCCGAGGAGGAGAAGAGGCCATTGGCCCCCGAGGAGGAAGAGGATGCAGGATGCCGGGACCTGGAGTCTCTGTCCCCACGAGAAGATCCCGAGATGTCCACTGCTCTCAGTCGGAAGGTGTCTGATGTCACATCCTCAGGTGTGCAGTCCTTCGATGAGGAGGAGGGTGAGGCTAACAACTAGCTTCCCCCCACTCCACGCCCAGCCTTCCACTCCCACCTGAGGGGCATGGCTGCAACGAAACCCTCCCTACCCCAGCGGCACAGCTGAAACCCGGGCAGAAGACCATGAGGTTACCCAGGAGTTGCCAGTCCTTGCTGGGAAAATGGAGAGCCAGGATGGGATTTTACCCAGGCTTATGCTGTAGAAACCACAGGTCCAGGAACTGAGGCCCAGACCACCAGATGGCCCTAACTTTGCTTGGCGGTAGGCTTCTGGGTCTGTAATGATGAGGCTCCCATGTTGCTCCTAAGGACCAGAGCACAGAGCAGCTCGTGGTCGTCGACTGGGCCTCAGTTCTTCACCCTCTGATTCGTCTTCCAGGAGCCTTGACTGTGGCTGTGGGAATGCCTCCTTTCTGTGTCACTCCTGCTTTTCCTGACTCTGTTTTCTCTGACTGTGGCCCCAGCTCATCCCCACTATGAGGAACAGACCTCGGGGGCTCTTGGTATGGCTCGACGACCCAAAGTTGTGTGCCCTTGGAGGGTGGAGAGTCTGTCCTCGGCGAGAAATTGGCTTCTGAGATCAGGAGTCATGGGGGAGGGGGAAGTGGCAGCTGGGATGCACAGGACACAAACGTGACTCTCTGTACTGACAGGGCCTGCTCAGAGACCAGAAAGTCATTGATGAGACCGAGAACAAACATGGCCGCCTGTTCCGCGATCTTGATTATTCCCTTGTCTGGAAGGAGGATCCAAGGATCTGGGAAAGGGCCCAGCCGGGGCTGGCTGCCCCAGCTCTTGCTTCCGTTTTCTGCCTTCTTCTGTCTCCTGCTCTGGGAGCCCTGGCCCTGAGGGGGTGACACAGAATGCAGGTGTCCTGGCCAAATGGGGAAGCATGAGGGCTGTGTCTCCTTCCATCCACCCTCTAATTCTCTGGAGCTGTTTACACTTTTCTCTTTGCCTTTTCTACATTTTTATAACTTCTTGGGGACTCAGGGTTGAGTGGGTTGGAGGGAGGAGTCCGGTGCTGTCAGGCCCCGGCCAGGGCGGGCTGTTTGCTGAGGAGCAGTGTGGGCTCTCGGGTCCTTTGCCCCTTCTTCAGCTCCTCCCAGGACTCTAAGGAGGGCCTCACAGATGTCCTCCCTCCCTCCCCAGGCCTCTTGTGGAGGAAGAGAGGAGAATCAGAGTGTTCTTCCCTCCAGGACGGGTTACAGTGAGGCGTACGCCCCGAAAGGGCTTGTCCTCTCACTCCCTGTTTCCATTGTGGTGGGGACTTCTGCGTAGCCCTTCTGTGAGAGATCCTGCCAGCAGAGGCCCAGGGGGAGAGAGAAGGACGCCACAGCTGTGGAGATGGCTGGCACATTGCCCCTTCCCACTGCAGGGGCACAGGGAGACTCTGGGTAGAAGAGAGAAGCTGAGAGCTTCACTGCTGCCTTCCCTCCTGCCTCGTGCCGGGCTAAGGCTCCAGCTCCAAGGCCTTGTGTCCTACCCAAACTTCGTCAGGGGTCCCACCTCTTTACCCTCTGCCAGGAAGGGGGCACTGTCACTCTCTCCCAGACCCTGGACAGAACTGCCCTCCCACCCCATGCCCCAGACTTCTATTTCTTTGGAATGAGGAGGTTGAGAGTCGGGGTGTTTCTGTCCATCTGTGACCGGACCCCACCCCGCACTGAGTTCACACTGTCATTCACATGTGCTCTTGCAATGCAGCTGAGGCCAGGATCCCATGTCCTCCAGAGGAGAGGGACAGTGGCTTTCCTGGGGTTGGTCCTTGGAGGACCCAGGAGTGGGCATGGTGAGTGTGGGTAGGGGGTCACCTTATCCACAGCTGTCTCAACAGAAGACCTCTCTTGTGTTTGGTGATGGGACCTGACACAGGAGGGAGCAGGATGGCGCAGAGAACAGCTCTGGGAGGTGGCCCTGCATGCCCTCGCTCGTTGCCCCTCACTGGAGACTCCTCCCCTCCTGCTGTAGGACCTCCGGGCTTTGCATGCTCACGGTTCCCTCTTCCCACTGGTCCCTGTTTCCTCGCCTCATGTCACCTGCTGTCTCAGTGCACCATCTTTTCCCTCTCAGTCTCACACCCTCTTGCCTAGGTTCTGCCCCGAGACCACGGTGGACATCCAATCCAGTGGGCTCATTCATTACAGTTTGCTCTTGCTCAGGGCCTATGGAGTTGGGAAAGGTGGACTAAAGCCGTGTTCTTTCTTTCCTCCCTCCCACCCTCCCTCCCTTCCCAGAGGAAGCTAAATGGTCCCTGCAACAGTGGCTGAAACCTTGAGGGAATCTAGCAGACTTTACTTGTGGAGGGGGCTCGCAGACCGTAGGTCAGGTGGGGGCCTGCATTTTCCATTCTGAAGAGGGAGAAGAGCCAAGGAGCTGGCCTGGGACCCTCTTAGGACTCTTCTGGAGGGAGAAACTGCCTCTCTGGTGCTGGGGGCAGGGTGCATGGGGTTTGCTTATAGCCTATTCTGGGGGAGGGGAGGGGCATGTGCAGGAAGAGGCTATCAGGGGTGGGGTGGGGTGGGGGAGGGTTGCTTTTCCTTTGGGGTTAAAGGCTGTGCAGCACGTTTTCCAACAGTCCTGGAACAGGGCTGTTTTTATATTCTTGTGAATGAAACTGCTCTTGCTAAATGATTTTCCTTTGGTGGGGGGGTGCACTTTCATTTTCGAATCACTTTATTAAAGAAAAATCCAAATCTCCCATTCCTCCCCTTCCACTGCCCCACCTCCCCCAATGACTCCCTTCTTATCCTTGTGCTGGGGGTGGGGGTGGGGGGGCGGCTCTTGGTGAATGAGTGTATGACCTTTTCTTTGTCCCCACCTCTACATCCCATACTCTGTCTTCCAGGTCTGGGAAATAACCATTTTTACGGCCAGTCTTAGCATGTTTTCTTAATGTGACATTCCCACCCCAGGCCCAAGAGAGATTCTATGACATATATTACAGAGAGAATTATATATAAATATATATATATATAAATATCATAGATTATATACACATGGGCATGGGCTCAAATGCCCACTGCCAGCCCCCCTGCCCAGGCTGCACCCTCTCTTGGCCTGGGGGCGGGGGTGGAAGGGACATCCTGTTGGAGAGGGCTACAGGCTGTGTTCAATGGCACTAAACAGAATGTGGTGGCACCTCTGACTATGAGTGTCTTCTTTGGGGGATGATGGAGAGTGGGCACAGGGGAGGGGAAGGAGGAGAATGTCGGAAAAGGAGTACAACTGTAGAACTAGATAGGGACCAAAAGGAGGGAGGGAGGGAAGAAAGCCTTGGGTGTGGAAGCCAGGGCGGCTAGGGGCTCAGAGCACCCAGGACCATTTCAGAGGAAAGACAGGCTAACGACAGGCACCGTATTGCTGATTTGGGGAGGATAAGTCTCTGGCTTCCCTGGCATGGGAAACATCCAAGAGGTTTGCCATCTTGACATTGAACCCCCATCTCCCCACCTCTAGAAGAGGAACACAAAGAACCAGTCTAAGAAAGGCTGGTGTCTGAGTGACACAGTGACCTGGCTGCCCTGAGCCTTGGTTCTTGGCAGGAGAAGCCACAGTGGCAGCAGCTGGAGGGCACAGCGGACCCTGGGGCGGGAGAGGTCAATGAGGACAGTGGAGAGGGGATGTAGTGGCCAGGGTGACCTGGAAACTGGAGGGTGAGGAAGCTGTCGTTGGTGCGAGATAGGATGGATTTGTGCCTGAAGGAGGCATGAGCGTTCGGCAACAAGACACTTGCTTCCTGCACAGAGCCCTTTGCTCTTGGGGGTTGCTCCTCCTTTATCCACAACGCACTGCTTACACCCTGGGATGAAGAGGGGCCAATGGGACGGGCCTTTCACTACCTTAGTGATGGCCCCTGCCTGGTGACAGGTAGTGGGAGCCAGAATGGAGTGGGAGGCAAATTTCAGGGAGTGGAGGTCCGCAAGCCAGAGGATGGGGTGGGGGTGTGTGTGAGAGAGGGCCGTGGGTAAGCGTATTCAGGGCTGGCACTCTATGAGGCCAGGAGGTGACCCTCTCCTCCGAGGCCACAGTCATTGTGGGCCTCGCCCTGCAGAGCCTGTCAGTCACAGGGGCAAAGCCAAGGCGGTGTTGGGTCAAGACACTGGGGACTGCGGGGGACTGAAGGGAGGCTGAGAGAGGCAGGGGATTTCCCACCCATGTTCCAGGAAGGCTCAGGAAGTGCCATGGAATATCAGGTCCTCCCCTGGGCGTGGAACCCCCACCTATCTGGACGTGGCCTAAAGAGCTGACTGAGGCTACTCTCTCTGCCCACATTTTAACCCTCCTCTAAGACTAAAACTATCACCTTTTAAAATTCCCAGGAGGGGTCGGGACATTGGTGTGCTCTCCAGCTTCAGGACATACCCCTCCACACGCACACTGGCCTGGGGCTCTGGGCAGTCTTTAAGAGGAGGTCCTGGAGATGGTCACAGGATCAGCTCGTCCTCATCCTCCTCGTCAGTGGATCGCAGGCTGGGGCCCTGCAGGATGTCGGCCAGCTCCTCCAGCCCCGGGCTCCCCGCCAGCTCCAGCTCCTCCAGCTCGCCCTCTGCCTTGTCTGGAGCCACGGACAGAGGGGGCTCTGGGGAGGGGGAGGGTACGGGGGTCTCTGGGGAGGCGGGAGTCCCATCCTCTGCCCCAGAAGCCCCTGTTCCACCCTCAGGCAGGCTCCAGGCCTCTGTGGGAGGGGGCGGGCCCCCAGGGTTCTTCCGAATGGAAGTTGTGTTCCGGAAGCTGGCAAGGGGAGGGCGGAGCTGCACCCCAGACTTGGTGTGCCCCTCAATGGCCTTCTGCAGCTGGTGGGGAGAGGGAAAGGGGTAAGAAATTGGGAAGAGAAAGAAGATGGGACAGGGTGAGACAAACAGGCATGCGAGAAGGACACATTCATGCAAGGAGGACGAGCGGGAAAGACACGGAGGGGCACGAGAAGGGGCATGGGGGGGGAGATGCACCTGTGGACCTGAGAACCTCAAGCTCCTCTGGCAAGGCCCCTTCCCAGTGACCTTCAGCATCCTTTAGCCACACCCCATCTCTTCCCTCTTTCCAGGCCCTCCCCAGAGCAAACACATGAAACCGTGACTCATGCCCAGAATTCTCATCCCAAACCCCCGGGCCGTGGAAAGTCCTGGAGCATTCCTCTTCACCTGCCACTTGCTCCCTCCATCCCCTCCAATCTCTGCCTAAGAAATAGAGAGGGAGATCTGGGGGACCCCAGAAGTTAAACCACCCCCTCCGTACTCCCACACCCTTATCCTGTGTCCACTCTTCCTCCTGCTGCTCAAATGGGACCTGTCCCCTTTACCTCTTCCAATGCCAACACGCCCCTGAGCTTCCCCATGCTGGTCACGTAAGCAAGGTGGAGGCCAAGGAGTGAGAACAGTGTGTGTGTCTGCAGGGAAAGAGCAGCACGTCGGCTCACGTTCACCCCAGACCTCCCCTGCCCTCGGCAGCCCTGAACGGTCAGGGGCCAGCACTTGCCTTGTGCAGGGACGTCTGCTCCACCAGCTGGAAGGGGGACTGGTCAATGCAGCAGGAGTCAAAACAGACGGGCTGGCTCAGCTGCTCCTGCTCCCAGGCTTCAATCTGTGTGGCGGAGTAGGGCAGTCACTCAGTATCGTGGAGCCCCCTTCAGCCTCAGACCGGCAGCTTGACCCCAAACAGCCCTCCTAGCCCCAGCCCAGACCCTGAAATATGCAACGAACTCTCACAAATGCTCCGGATCCCTAGACCTGCTCCCTTCCTCCCAGGGGCCTCTCCTCCCTCACCAGGCCCCCCATCACTGATCTTCACCCTTCGGCACTTAGAGCGTGGCTCTGTCTTCTTGTCTTCCGCCTCCCCCCCTTCCCTCCAACACTTTGTCATTTCCAGCCCTTCTGCCCAGCTTTATTTTCCACCACTCCTGCAGTACCCAGTGCTCAGTGAAACCAGGCATGTCTTCTCGAATCTGCGTTTGCTCTTCCGGATTCCCCTTATTCCCCCACCTGCCTGCACGCTGTTCTCCTGAGGATCCCAGGAGCACACTTTTTCTGTCCCTATCGTACTTTGCTGGTCTCTCCTTTTCCGAGATGACCTGGATTTGTGCTCAGGCTCTTACTGGTGTTTGTCTTCTCTCTCCCTACAGGACAGAGGTGAGGGTGTCACCCCTTAAGAGTGTTCTGTGGGGTTGCCGCCAGAATGCTGTGCAGAATTTAGCACATTTGTCTCTTACAGATCACGGCAGCTACCCGTTGGGTTTGAAGAGCTGTCCTGGATCACGTGGCACTTGGTTGGCTTGAGTAAAACCCTTGTATTTTGTCTGTGACAGAAGCATGAAGGCATGAAGGCCTTAACCTCTTTTTGATTTTAGAGATACATCTGAAATCCCCAAGATTCCAAATAATCCAGGAGAGCTCTCACTTTCATAACTGAATTGAAAATTTCTTGAAATCTCTTTTCAGTCGGTACCCCCTGAACTCTGTACTATTTTCTTTTCCTAATGTCCAAATTCGCATGTCTCAGGCGTCAGAGACAGTCTCCGAAGGCCGCCTCATAGTTCTCATGCCCAGTGTGGAGTCCTTAGTGGGGTGCCCTCCACCTGTCCCTTCCTGGCAGTTCCGGACTACAACCCCACCTCCTCTAAACCTCACTCCCCCTGGATGAATGTTCACACCAGGTCCGGCTGGCCCTCACAGCACATGGATCCATGGATGGATGGATGGATGGATGAGCATTCGGCAGGTGTGCTGTGGATACGATTCACTTGTAGGACCCTTGCCAACCCTGGTGAGGTGGGTCCTGTCCTCCTGGACCATTTCCTGCCCTTCCCAGTGCCCATGCACCAAGCACTTCCTCTGGGCCATGCATTATTCCAGCTGCTTTACAGGTCTTCACTCATTGAATCATCTGCAACAGCCTCTCATTGTCTCTGTCTTACGGATGAGGAGACGGAAGCGTGGAGTACGTCCGTGGTCTGCCCAAGATGACACAGGTGGAGCCGGGCTTCCGACCTTGGCTGAAGATCCTGTTCCGGGAAGCCCCAGCTTATCTCCAAAGGGCAGGGTTTGTCTGCTTCAGGGTCTGACATGTCCCACTACTTGCAAAGGCTCCGCCCCTTTACCAGACCGGAGCTCTGTGTGTGCTCCGAACAGGGGAGCCGAAGGAAACACTTCTGGTGACATGTAACTGAGCTCTTCCCGCAGGTGTCATCGGGATATTGCCAAGGGTGCCTCCTCGATCTTGTCTGAAAACCAGTTTCAAAATATCCTGAATTTTTACTCCTATGGGATCTTATCCCTCTAGAATATCCCAGTGAGTGACAGGGGAGCTTAGATACCCAAAATCTTCTTTGGGAAAGACATAAGCTAAAAATGTATGCTTTGTTTATACCCCTCGTTGCACTTTATTTCCAGTGGTTGTTGAATAGCCTCACGGGTCAGCTAGCCAGCTATCCCTCTGGTGTGCTTCTTTGAAGAGTATGATTATTGGGTTAGCTCTGAGCAAGGCCCTCCTCAACCACAGTTATGACCCATCTGATTCCTGCTTGGGGGCAAGAGCTATTTTGTTCCTCTGTGCTCATCGATCTTTTCATTAAGCATTGATCAGAAAAGTGCGTGTTTTGAGAGGTGACAAGGGGAGAAGGGGAAGACTTCCTTCTCTCCTATGACTCCCTCCCCCCACATCTAGTCTGGATAACCAAGGAGATGTTTATTTTAAAATAACACCTGCTATGGTTCTTTGTCATCTACATACTTTTAAAGCTGTGGCTGTTCAGCCTCCGCAGGAGGCCTGCATTCTTTTACCAAACAGAATGGCTGCTAGTAGACTCTGCTGTTTCTCTGCAACGCTGGGGTCTCTTTCCATCAGGACTGTGATCAGGACCGCCCTGCTGCCTCCAAATCATTGCTCCATGTCTGTCCCCTCCTCACAACCAAGCCCATTCAGGGCTGGGTTTTCTCTCTCAAGTACTTAATAATTACCTTTTTCAGGAAACAGGTGTTTGTCCCAATGAGAAACCACTGTCCATATTGGCCCTCTGTTTTCCATTCTTTCCAGTCTTGCTTTAGGGCATTTCCTAGTTGTTCACTGTCTCGAAGCCCTGTCTAGTCCGGTATTGTAACCTCAAGCAGGCACTGACCACCTTAGTTTCCATGCTGCTCCTCCACGCTGGTACGCGTAACTGCTGGCTGCCTGGGGCCATCTTACTTCAGGTGAAGCTCATCCTTCCTGCACGGCCTTTTCCTGGTCCAGAACGTCCCTAATGTCTAAAAGATCTGAGGCTCATCTTAGCACTGTTGGTCCCATCTATGCATGGAAGCTCACAGTCTTTCTCCTCTGATCCCTCTGAGACCATCACATGTTTCCTTCACCTCTTAGCAATGGGCCCATCCCTTTCTCCATAATCACGTCTCATTCCCAGCCTCTCAGAATGCTTTCTGGCCTAGACTAGCATCTTACTGTTACAACACAATGAAGCAAGTGAGCAAAGCCTTCATCCGACAGAACGATACACCCCAGGTGGCTGTTTCTCTTACCTCTTCAGGAGACATGTTGTCCACTAAATCCGTTGACTCCTAGAGAAGAAAGCCACAGGTCCAAGTTCTTTCCCTTTTCTCCCCATGACAGCTGTGGTTCCCCTGGCCATTAGCAACCCTCACAGGCCAGGGCCACAGATGCCTGCTTTCCTGCTCATCCTTCCTGCCCTGTGATGAAGAGTCCCTGTGCTGGGACCTCCTCCCCCTTGACCTCCTCTCCCTTGATTTAAGGACCATGGTTCTCTCAGTCTTCAGAGGCATGGTCCTTTCCCTGTCCACCCTCCACAGCACATCTGCTCTTACCTGGATTGTTTTCTTCTTTGTGGGGCGAGGTCTGCCCAGTAAGCAGCGCAGCAGGGACCGAAAGACAGAGGGTCTTTGACCTGAGGAGTGGCGAGCAGGTGGAAATGGAAACAAAGTCCTGTCTGGCCTGGGAGGGGCCACGGGCGATGGGAGGCAGCGAGGGGCCCCTGACACTTTGCCACACACAGTGTGCTCTTCCCAGATGCCTCACCTCTACAGATACCCTCTATCCTACCCTCCTGAATCAGCCCTTACTCCCACCACTCGGGACAGTCATATGGAGATTCAGTGATTACAACTCCCTTCCCGCCTCCCTCTGCCCTCATCCCTCCTCATAGTAGCAGCCCTTGGGTGGAGGAGAGCCCAGAGAGAGCCCGGGGGGCATGAATGCGGGTGCATGCTGGGAGAATCTTCACCTGCAGGTTCCGGTGCTTCTGGCTGCTGTTTGTGGCTGGGCAGGGGCCCATTGGACCCTTCGGAGGACAACGGGGCAGTAGGAAAGGGATGAGGAGGAGGGAGAGGAGGCAGCTATAAGGAACAGTAAAAATTCTCAGTCCTGGGGAAGAGGCTGGTGTCCTAGGAATTCTATCTACATCCATTCACCCTCACACCTGTTCAGAATTCCTATATCCCTTTTAATTCTCATTGGTACCATCATCTGCAGCCTGATCTCCTTCAGTCCCTGCCCCCAGGTGCACTGGTCTCTTTGACTTTCTCGGTGACCAGCATCCCATCTCCCTCCTCCCACTTTCCCTTTGCCCCAGTCCATCCTACTCCCGCAGCCCGTCCCTGCCTGGTCACCTCCGGCTTCCCAGAGAGGTCCTCATCTTCATCCTCATCCACAAATGCAAAGGACTCCCTCCGGCCCTCAAGGGAGATGCCTTGGTGTCCCTTGCCAGCCAGCAGAGCTTTCCCGTCAAAGGGCAGCTCGGACAGCTTCCTGGCCATGTCCTGGGCTGCCTGCAGCCTCCGCTCGGGGCACAGGTGACGCTGTAGGAGGGCCTGCAGCTCTGACCGCTCCACGGAGCCCAGCAGGATCATTGAATCTGGGGGAGAGCCAAGCTCAGCCTGAGGGCCTGCACGGTTCCCTGCCCCCTCCAACCTGCTCTGCAGGACTGAGCTGGGGACAGAAGCCAAGCACCCCTGCTTCTTTTCCCAGCTCTTCCCCTCTCTTCCTGAAGATTCATTTCATACATCTTTCAGGATTGACCTCATTCAACCCCTTTTATTTCACTCATTTAGCACTTAGAGACCCAATTGATAGTATGCTAATTGGTGTTGATTTATACTTATTTTGATGCAAGCCCTTCCTTATACAGGCTGTTTGTAAATAGGTGAACTTGGTACTAAAATGGCTAATCAATCCTGTCTCGAGAGAAAGAAAGAAAGAAAGACAGACTTCAAAATCCATTTACATAGACTGAGATGTAAATATACTTTGAAAGAAGTCTACAAGGATATCTGAGGCTTAATCACTTAAAGACTGTGGGTCCTTCTAGGATATAAACAAAATGTCTCCTTTTCCTGGGAAGATCTTTCATATATGGAAATTCTGCTACCACAATGAGCATTTTTGTTGTTTTAAGCCCATAAAATTACAACAGTGTTACTAAGATAAATCTTACCATTAGGTCTTAGTCACTATTATGAAAACCCTCTACTTCCTTGGCTGTACCCCTGCTCCAGTGAAAAGCCACTGCTTTAGAGACCACTTACAAAGTATTTGGGATTTGGGAAAAATATTAAAATGAATCTAACTTGAACAACATGGACATTCTGATTATCTGAAGTCAGGAACTAACAAACTTAATGGCTCCAAATGGCCCTACATGATTCTTCTTAATTACATGAATTCAAACATTAGGCAGTGTTTACTTAATATCTAGTAAATACCTAGAAGGAGGCAGTCTGAAGGAGATAGAAGTTATAGTCTCTGCCCTCAAACAATTCTCAGCCTAGTGAGACATAGATATAAACTCCAGTAAGAAATAATATAGAGGCGCCTGGGTGGTTCAGTCGGTTAAACGTCTGCCTTTGGCTCAGGTCATGATCCCGGGTTCCTGGGATTAAGCCCCACAAAGGGCTCCCTGCTCAGTGGGGAGGCCTGCTTCTCCCTCTCCCTCTGCCTACTGTTCCCCCTGCTTGTGCTCTGTCAAATAAATGAAAAAAAAAAAAACTTAAAAAAATCATAATACAGAGCAGGATTAAATGCCAAAGGTGGACGAAAAGGATGGTGAAGGAAGGGACATGAAAGAACTGCTTTAAGCCATTCCATAAACAAACAAAGAAGCAAATGAATAATTTTAAAAAGGGGTGCCTGGGGGTGCAGTTGGCTAAGGGTCCAACTCTTGGTTTCAGTCTGGTTTGTGATCTCAGTGTCATGAGATCAAGACCCGTGTTGGGCTCCGGGCTCAGCATAGAATCTGCTTGGATTTCTCTCTCTTCTTTTCCCTCTGCCCCTCCCTCCCGCTCTCTCTCTCTCTCTCTCTCTGTTTCTCTCTTTCTTTAAGAATAATAAATAAATTCTTTAAAAAAAATTAGAAAGGAGTAAAACCACTCACTCTTTCATATGGAACAGTTTCATTTGCCCCTCAAGTTGGGCGTTGAAGAACAGCTACCATTCAACTAAGTAGCAAAGAGAACCACATAAGGGGCTAGGGTTTTACAGCAGAGCCTCACTATTCATGAATGCCCTATTTGCGAATTTGCCTCCTGGCTAAAGTACAGGTATTTGTAAACCCCAAATTAGGGCTCAAGATGCCGCCACCATCGTTCACAGACCTGCACAGCGCAGCAGTGGGGCCTCCCCCCACACGTTTCCAGCTGAGGTTAGAAAAGTAACATTCTGCTTCTTCTCTCAGCCCTCATATTATAAGCAAGCATTCTTTTCATTGTCCATTTAATGTCACACTTTTTTCACACTTTTGTTGGTTTTGTGTTAGTGATTCTGCTGTTTGACATCCTTCCCACCCCTCCCCCCTACCACCCAAACAAGAAGGCTGTGATGTACCTTATGGAGAAAATATACCTGTTAGGTAAGCTTTGTTCAGGCATGAGGTGTAGCCCTGTTGGCCATGAATTCTAGTTAATGAATCGACAGTATATACTAAATATGGTGTCTTTAAAGAGAGACACACATAAAATAAATGTATGCATTCATCGGTTGAAGAAAATGAGATGAGAGGAACCTAACCCTGTATTTTTTCCAGGGCAGTGTTTCAGTATAGTAACCCTAGTTCAGTGTTCAGTGACTTTAAAGGACATAGCTATAGTGACTAAAGAGCATCGGCTGTAGTTCTCTAATTGAATTTTTTTTTTTTTAAGATTCATTTATTTTAGAGAGAGCGAGAACGGGGGGAGGGGCAGAGGGAGAGAAAGAATCCCAAGCAGATACCCCACTGAGCATGGAGCCCAGTTCAGCCTTGATTTCACGACCCAGAGATTATGACCCAGAAAGTGCAACCCCAGCCGAAATCAAGAGTCCGGTGCTCAACTCACTGAGCCACCTGGTGCCCCTCTCTGACTGCATTTTTAACTATCTTCTTTTGCTTGTGTTCTGGCAGTATTTTTCCTTCTTGAAGATGATCGTGTTCACTAGGAACACAAGCTGGGTATCCTGTGGCAGACTGGGTGATCCCTAAAGATAAGCCCGCACTACAGTGCCTCCTCCAGCTCTGTGGAGCCCTGGTTCAGGTCACTAGCTCAGGAGTCTGCTTCCTTTCTTCCCACTCACCTTTTGAATCAACCAGTGGTAAAGTCTTGACTGTGGTGGTCTGGAGCAGGGTTTGCAATTCCCCGTAAGTGCAAGTGGCTGAAACAAACTTCACATCACGTACCATGATGTCCTCAACAAAGATGGTGAATTTACTACGGGGGGAGAAGGCATGGGGCGTTAGCCCCACCATAAACTTGTTCCTTTGCTGTCCCTTCCATTCCTCGCATGAGGTTTACCATGCATCATGTCACTCATAATACTCATTAAGTACATGGGAACATAAAAATAAGTAAAAAGCAGTATTCCCAAATGTTGATCCTAATCTCAGTAGCTCCCACCTCCACCCCATCAAGCCTGAACTAATTCCAGCTGGTGCCCTGACCTGAGCTGGTTCCAACCAAGGTCAGGCAAGTAGGGTAGCTTCTTGACCTGGATGATGCTGTCATAGAGGGAGGGCTGAAGGCTCTGAGCCACCATGTTGGCCAAGATGACCGCCACCATCATGGGTAAGATGTGGGCAATCTGACCCGTTAATTCGAAGCAAATCACAGCTGTGGAGACTGTGTGGGATACTGCACCGGTCAGCGCGGCTGCCCCTAGAATGACACAGGAATGTACCAGTGGGTTAGGGCTGCCACGTGCGGGATGTGATCCTGGTCAGTGCCAACACTCCTGACACAACCATCTGTCAAGAGTAGGAGCTAGAAAACTGTCAGCAAATCATTTTGATCTCATTCTGTGTCCCTTGGCAATTTATAAAATGATTGTGTGTGCCCAAATTTTCATTTGTAAGATGAAGATAGTGATGTCCTCTCTATTCCTTGCTTTTGAAAGTTTGGAACATTTTTTTTTTTTTAATATTCTCTATATCCAACATGAGGCTCAAACTCACAACCCTCAGATCAAGAATCACATATTCTACTGACTGAACCAGGTAGGCACCCCAAAAGTTTGGATCATTCTTAATTGAGGATTCTAAAACCCAGTGACAGCATTTTCTACTGGACCTCGGGTTTTGATGTCAACAATATATGAGTGAAGGGAGTCAAAACCCAGGACTCATGGTGTGGACCTGGAGTAATAACACCTGTGTCAGATTCTGATTCTATAGTTTCTCAACTGTGTGTGTAGAACTCGATCCTTTTGGAATCCCATACTATCATCTCTAAGGTAAAAAAGGTCATTGAATAAGTTGTAAGGCCCTTGCAGATCTAAAACGTTACGATTCTATGAACTCTTTGAAAACAGAATCTTATTTTTCATTGTTTTCCCATCAACAGAAATAGTCACTAGAAGGTATACGTGAGAAGAGAACAGGAAAAAGACACAAACGACAGGGGCGTAATTGAGAGAGCACGTGACTCTTGATCTCAGGGTTGTGAGTTCAGGTCCCTAGTTGGGTGTAGAGCTTACTTAAAAAAAAAAAAAGAAAGAAAATTCACAAAAGGGAAATACTGGGAGGTCTAATTCTGCAAGATGGTACAAATAACATACTTCAGAACATAAACTGTCACAAGAGATATGTATTCCGGGAAACGTCCACCAGGGAAGATGGGTGACACCTGAGAGTCACGAAGATGGGGAATAAGAGCAGAGGACTCTTATGGATGAAAGAGGCTTTTTGTAAAGGTCTGTGATGGGGGGTAAGGACACCATATGCACTGGAAAGCTGCCTAATGCTTCTATATTTAAGGGAGGCACGGCCGTAGGTGTTATGGGGTTTTGATGGGGAAGAGCAAGAGCGGGGAGGCATAATAATTTTGAGGATTATACAGGCCACTGTGTTTGTTAGACAGGGTTTCGGTTGGATGGGATTGTGGATTTAATGTGAAAAAGATTATCACAGATTCTCAGAATGTTAGGGCTGTAAGATATCTCAGAAGTCATTTTATAATAAAGAAACTCTGGTGCAGAAAGGTAGGTAACTTGATCCACTGTCATCCAGGTGACAAGTGACAGGGATGAGTAGAGACCATGTTTCTTTGCTCTTAGTCAGGTACTTTAAAGTCCTGTCAGTATTAGCCCATCTGCAGTTTGGGAGTATCCAAGCCAGTCACCTGCACTGCAGTTTCTATAATTCTTTGGAAGGAAGGAAAAAACCCTTACCAAACATTCAGACACAATCCTAGGTGCTTTCATTCTTATTATCTCATTTAATTCCCATAATCCCTTTTCTACATAAAGAAACTAAGCTTCAAAAACGTTCAGTAAGAGCTAATGAGAGTCAAAGCCAAGGGTTGATTATTTGAATGAAAGTTGAATCAAATAGCATAAAATTAAAACCACATTATGTAGTTTGTCTGGAATAAAGATGTCATGGGAGAGTTTGTGTGTGGCTATTAGGGGTTACCAGAGGGTGGAATGTGTCTCACCAATTACTGCATAGCCCCCGGGTAGGATCTTGTAGATGATATCATCAAATAAGATACCATCAGGGAATAGCATAGCCATGATCTCTCCTACCAGCCTTCCGAATGCAGCTCCTAGAGGAAAGACAAAAGGAAGGAAGGTGTTGAAAGATCCAAGTTCCTTATCCTCTATATTCCAGAGCCAATCCCTTCTTGGACATTAAGAACAAATACAAGCCCCTGGCATTCCAGGCCTTTCTTTAATTTCCCAGTACCCTAGATTGCAGCTGTCAGCAAGATCCCAGGTTTCCCATCAGAACTTACCTAGTACGAACACAGGCATGAAGCCTCCACAGGGTATGGGCATAGTGGTGGCCACGATGGACATCCAGAACTGGGGTAAAAAGAGGCATCAGGACACCCTCTCAACTCTGCCCAACATACACACACACACACACACACACACACACACACACCTATTCCACTTCCTCCCCACTTCCAACCCTTCCTCTTGCCTCAAGAGTCACAGAAACCCTGGGGTAGCTAATTCATCCAGAAGCCATCTTGTCTGTACTCTGTCTCCAGAATCAAAAAACATGGAGTGCTCACCCAGGCTAAAAACCACCAAAGACAACACTGTAAGAGTTCCTCTTGATGATCGTTTCCCCTTGGAATGACTATATTTGCCTTTAAGCAATCTAGAACAAGAAGCGGAGCCTCTGAAGATTCCTGTCACTGCTCCAGAAGGTATAGTATAGCCTATACTATACCCTCCTAGCCCAAAAAGTTCACCTCAGCAGAACAGCCTGAAACTCTTGAAGCTGGAGGGTTATCTTTTCCTGGTCAGATTGTTTCTGAAAAAGAGCTCAGCTCTAAGTGTCAGACATCTTAGAGGCTCAGTGACTTCCTCTGTGACTAATTTAATGATATAGTTATTTATAAACCCATTTATATGGCAAACCGCACAAGGGAACCTGGAGTGAAGACTGTCCTGCCTGAGTCATTTCCTTCAACATCAAACCACATTAAACAGAGGTTCAAAAGATCAAATCTATCCTAGCCATACTGGAAGGACACATTGAGAAAGTTAGCCAGTGCAACAGAAAAGATCTCAAAGGCCAACTTTGTCAGGTAGTATTCCAAAAGAAACCAGAACAATTTTAGCAAAAGTAATACATACATTTTGTGGCAAAGAAATGTGGAAGAATTGAGAAATAGAATGGAAAAATGAGCATTGGTTGAACCTTTAAAATATCTGTAAAAGAAATAAAAATATGAGATACACCATGAAAATGTAGAAACAGGTTTTACATATTACTTCCAAAATAAGTAAGCCAATTTTACAAAAGGATCTCAAACTCATGTGGTGAAAGATGGTAGCAGCTAAATTAGAACAAACTGCCAGGATTGAAATATTTGTAATTGAAAATCTGTACCAAGTGCATTGTAAACTAATGAGAAATACATTTCTTACTATTCTGAACCATAGAAAGAGTCCCTTGATCTAGGGCTGATGTCAAGAGGCCATGCCAAAGGCTCTAAGAAGGCTTCATCCCAGAAGCTCTGAGATGAGGCAAAAATGTATACTTCTTCATGTCAGAATATGACCATGTAAAACAGCTGATAATGGCCAAGTCAAAGGTACAGATGAAGATATTATAGACTGAGAAAGCCTTGAGTATAAAGCAACCTTGTGTCTTGTTTTCTCTGCCTGCTCTCAGTCCTGGTGGGGTGCTCATCAATGCGGGTAGCATGTAGGTAGGTCACTGGGGAGGGAAGGAGGAAGGAAGGAAAGAAAGAAGAGAGCTTGGTCAAATAGCGTTCATGCAACACAGAAAAGGCTTCTCAGAGCTACTATTTGCGGAAACGCCCAACAGAAATGCTCGTTGGGGAATTTGTTGAACCTGCAGATGACCAGACACCATGTCGGTCAGTGTGGACACGGAGTTCTGGGTATTTGTAGCTTACTTAACCTTTGCAAATGATTTTGACATGTAACAACTGGAGACCCCTTGAACTACTTTGTACCATCTCTTTGGAATAAGCACATGAAAGCCGTATGGGATTTTGTAGGCTCGGGTTAATCTGAAAGCTCCAGTAATACAGATTATAGGTGGCTAATAGATCTGATTTCAGAGGATGAATTTTGGATTATCCTCCAAGATATATGTAAGAACAGATGAGGATCAGAGGGCCCTGAAGTGAACAACTCCTAAGGACAAAGAATGACCCAAGGTTAGCAAACTTTGCCAGCTATTAGCACACCAAAGGAAAGATCCAGATGCAATGTAAATAATGTAGAACACAAATAACTCCCAAGAATTTAAACACCCAGCGCTAGAGAACTGGGAAGCTAGAGTCCCACCATGACAGATTCTACTTTAGTCAGACCCTTCACAGAAGGAGTGCCACAGAGAATTCTACAGAGCCTCAGGCTATGCTGGTCAGTGATACTAGGTAATGACTTTAGACTTATTAAATAGGGAAACTGAGAAGTTGTAATTTTATTCATACCCATGATACCCAGCTGTTAACTTACAACATGCTGGTATTTCCATGTCTTAAGACTGGGGAAGATGGAAGTTCCCTTCATCAATAGGGGAGAATCTTATCTGCCTGTGTGAATACCGCCGGAAGCCCACACAGGCTAAATTTCAAACCAGACTGTGGAAAAATAGTTCCAGTCACTTTCATATTCTAATTTGGTTATGTAGCCTATCACCTACACTTAGGAATAGATAAAGGGATGGATGCATATGTGTCCAATAACAGAAAAGTGAAAATGCTGGAAGCAGTGATAATTGGACAATACCATGGATTTATAGCAATGAGTGGTGTTAGTTACATTTTTATTTTCATTTTTTTTAAAATATTTTATTTATTTATTTGACAGACAGAGATCACAAGCAGGCAGAGAGAGAGGCAGGGAAGCAGGCTCCCCACTGAGCAGAGAGCCCAATGCAGGGCTCAATCCCAGGACCCTGAGATCATGACCTGAGCCGAAGGCAGAGGTCTTAACCCACTGAGCCACCCAGATGCCCCTACATTTTTAAATATTATGGAATGGCATAGGCCTGATGCAAACTGTGAGGCTTGAAATATAGCCCAGGAAGTATGTGAGCTTCTTCCCCTGTTACGTGCATGATGTAAACATTATCAAGGATGTGATTCAGTGAGAAATTAATAATAGCGACATACAGCTGAGTCCAGCTGTACAATCCAAGTAGACCTCTGAGAATAAACTTTAATCTGTGAAGTCAAATCCAGATACATACTTGGGAATCTGGGGAGGTGAGGTGAGGTGTAGGGGAAATGTTGAAAAATATATGGTATTTTGTTTCTACAAAACTTTGCAAGAGCTTGACATTTTAAAAATATGTATAATCCCAAAGTTACCATATAGTTCAGTCTAGAGGAACATCAGGAAAACGCAATCATTATCCTTGAACAATAAATCCTGAGAGGCTATCAAAGCTTGGATTTGGTTACTTACAGGAAGCTGGGATTTATAAGTTAGAGAAGAGGAACTCTGTATGGAAAGTCCTAAAGTCAATTCCTTAACAAGGCTGAGAACTTACAATGAAAATATCAAATCTCTTGAAGGTAATAAAGTGGGTGTACAAAATACTGAAGCTGCCGACCCACTGAACCCACACGGAGTGGAATGGGAAAGAACATGCAGAGATGCAGTTTCCAGAAACCCAGAGCAAATCCTGAGAATATACGTCACAAAGTTGGAACCTGGTGTGTCAAGCACCTGGTGTCTTTAATCACAGGGTCCTTGACAAGTACATTAAAGGAGCAGCCAAAAACAAAGACATTTTTTTCAACCATAAGCATGAGATTTGCCAAAGTACAACAATCAAATATTATATATTTGGCACACGGTAGGTGTGTAATAACATTTATGGAATAAATGAACCCATGACAGCTATTATAATGTAAATATAACTTAGTGACTCATATCCTGGGAAAATATAGATTCAAAAAATGTGTCACGAATAAGTGAATATTCAAAAGCATGAACGTTCAGTGTGGACAAACTTTTGAATGAGAACCTTAATGTACAGAGGAAAATGTTGGATCATTCAGGCAAGACATAGGATTTGTAATAAGGCAATCACTGAGAAAGAAAACAAAATGGGGAAAGCAGCAATTATAATAGATGTCACAACTGGGGGTGGAAATAAAAGTGTGCTTGTATAAAGCCGTGACTGATAAGCCTATGAAGATGTGGAAGAGGCCAGCTTTGGTTTCCTAATTGAAATGAAGAGAAAATAGCTTGCAAGTGGCAAAATTCTCATGGCCTCACCAGCAAAAAGGGAAATAACAACATGTATAAAAATTACTTATAGAGGGGCACCTGGGTGGCCTAGCTGGTTAAGCATCTGCCTTCAGCTCAGGTCATGAATCCACAGTCCTGGGATCAAGCCCCACATAAGGCTCCCTGCTCAGCAGGGAGTCTGCTTCTCCCTCTCCTGCTGCTGCTCCCCTAGCTTGTGCTCTCTCTCTCTCTCTCTCAAAAAAAAAAATAAAAAAATCTTAAAAAAAAAATTACTTATACGGCGCCTGCATGGCTCCGTCAGTTAAGTGTCTGACTCTTGATTTTTGCCTCAGGTCATGATCCTAGGTTTGTGGGATTGAGTCCCATGTTGGGCTCCATGCTCAGCAGGGAGTCTGGGTAGGATTCTCTCTCTCTCCTGCTCCCTCTGTTCCTCTCTGAGCTCATGAGCATGCTCTCTCTAAATAAATAAATAAAGTCTTAAAAATTATTTATAGTCACTAAAAAATTGAGTTAAATATTTAATCTCTTTGGCAATTCTAGAAAAGAGATTACCCACTAGGTAGGGACAAATGGATATGCAAATCATCTAAAGATAGATAATTGGATATAGGAGAATGAAGTACCTAATTATCTAATGTGTGGGGGATTTGGTTAATTTATGTCGGGTGTTTACACAGTTATCTAAATTGCTCAACCCTGTCTCTTCCTCATTTACTAGGCTGCTGTGACATCTTGATCATTTAGCAAGTGGAACCTTTAGCAGGCTTATGGTAATTACGGCAACATTGCTAGGTTGACATGAAGGGAGCAATTAACCCAGATATGGGCTTACTTCTGTAGGTGAGCAACTCACCTAGGCTATGGGAGCATAGCTATTTCTCATTAGGTTGGACAAAGCCCCAATGAAGTTCTTATGCAAACCGTGGGTTCCCGGTTGAAAAGGGACAGGAGCTTAAGGGGTTAGGAGTGCAAGGAGGGGTACCTTCATGATAAAGAAGAGGAAGATGATGATGACCACATTGACCTGTGGGTGGATCCACACGGCCGACCGGCCCAGGCTTTCAGGGTCACCCACATGCTTTACCCACGTGTTGTTGTCAAACAGGGTACTGATGGCTTCACGAGGCATCAGCTGTGAGAGGAGGAAGTAAAAGGGGGAGGTCTCCAAGGATGTCAGGTACTAGCGCTCTGTACAGAACTGCTCCCCCAGTCTCATTGTTCGAGGGGCCCTCCTGCTCTTCTCTCAGGGGAGAGGTTCTACCCTTGAGCAAAAGAGCTCAGAAGCCTGAGGAATGTCTGCTGTGGCCCTGCCCTGGCTGAGTCTGGTCATGTGCTCAGTGACGTGCCTCCCACCCCCCAGACTCCTTGGAGCTGACCTCTCCAGCCATGAATTGACCCATTCCTGGTGGAAAGGTGAATGAGGCAATGATGAAGGTGACTATTCCGGGATACAGCAGGCGGCTGAAAAAGAAACAGATTGGAACCCTGCAAGTTAGCCCCAGGGGACGCCACGCTGAGCCAGCGAGCTGGGCCCACACAGCCTCAGCTCTTTAAACACATGACATTCTTGTCACCAAAAAGCAACTTTTAAGGGGCAGACCACACCCCTTGCTCCCCTGTGTGGTATATTGGGTTCCTATATTTCATCGCAAGCAACCTACAGGCAAGGACGGCCTTTGACAAAGATTAAAAGGGAGGGGCTCATGGAGAAAGCAGAATGGAAAAGGGTAGGACACAGAAGGGCAGTGACTCACTGCTTCGCCAGAAACTGGCTGAGGGCCTTGTTCTTTCGGACACCAAGCATGACTTGGCGATGCAGGTACACAAATACAGCTCCCAGGAAGCCACAGCAAATCCTGAGGGCGTAAGTTATACAGCAATTGAACCCTCTTCGCAGACCTGCCCTCAGCGGGAGACAAATACCAGGTGTCCACCCTCCCTTTCTGCCCTCTTGCCCTCAGCAATTCACACTTATCCAGGTCTGCCCCACCTTCTTCCAGCCGGGGCCCCTTCCGGCTGACGCCGCACCCCACGCCCTGTTCACCACTCCCAAGCAGCCAACCCCACTGACCCGATGATGGCGAAGGCTGGGAGCTCCTGCAGATCAAAGGGGAAATCCATTCGGAAATTGGTTCTGAAGAGAGCAGTGATGGTGACTGTGGGATGGAAAGGCCAGGCATCATGGTGGGAGCACCACAGAAACCCGGTGCTGGGGGTGGGGGTAGGGGAGGCTGGAGTCATCAGCTGAGGGTCAGCTCTTTCCTTCCTTCCAGGCTATGACCTAGATCTTTGCCCTATATCCTTGGGCCTTGGGCCCTCTTTCCAAATAATGGCATCCATTCCTTTTCTAAACGGCTCCAAGGAGATTTGTTCCCCACCCCAGTTCCAGCCTCCACCTCAGGCTGCCCTGTTACCTGCATCCTTGTTCCACACGGCCAGTACGCGGAAAACAAAGGCGCTGAACGTGGCCGCAAAGAATCCTCGCCAGTAGTTCCGCACGGCAAAGTAGGTAGAGGTGACCTCAATGCTGAACAGCACTCCTGCAGGGGCGTGGAGGTAGTCAGGTGCAGAGGAAAGCGAGAAGCTCTCCCACCTGCGGGCCTGAGGTGTTTTTGCTGAAACCCGAATCATGAAGGAAGCAGTAGTGGGAAGTGATGGTCTCCTGGAACCTCGTGCTCTAAACCATACACTGGCTCCTGCTGGCAGTGGTTTGCAGGCCGGGGATGTGGTCCAACAAAGATACAGGGAGGAGGGGGGGAGGAGAGGTGGGGTGGGAAGAGGGGTGGTCCTCAACCCACAAACCAGGAAGATCAGGTGGTCCTCCCTCTCTCTCCCTTAGAAAGTAGGGTTGGGTGGGATTCACAATTGTCACATGTCCACAGTTATGCAAGTTTCTGCAGAGAAGTTAGGAGAGAGAACCTTTCCAGAGCAGGTGCTCAGCAGCGTTGCCAAGCAGAGCTCGGGATTTATAGGGACTCTCCTTCACATTCCTCCCATGCGCCATATACCATAGGGCAAGTTTATAAAGAAAAAATAACCAAAACGAACACAAAAAGACTTCATGAGAGGGGCGCCTGGGTGGCTCAGTGGGTTAAAGCCTCTGCCTTCGGCTCAGGTCATGATCTCAGGGTCCTGGGATCGAGCCCTGCATCAGGCTCTCTGCTCAGCGGGGAGCCTGCTTCCCCCCCTCTCTCTGCCTGCCTCTCTGCCTACTTGTGATCTCTGTCTGTCCAATAAATAAATATAATCTTAAAAACAATAACAACAAAACTTCATGAGAGCTGACAATACTCAATGTTCCAAGAAAAGAAAGTAGAAGATTCACCCAGAGTTTAAAAAAAACAAAAGAAAACATTAAAAACCTGAGTTAAAAGAACCAAACAAGGAGAAAAACCAAGAGGCTAGAAGTTAACAATTTTGCTTAAGAAAAAGGTGAGTGAGACAGGAGGAAAGCTAATCGAAAGTCCTAAGCACTACTGTTTCCAAGAGCAGATGGTGGACTGGAAAATGAGTTGGTAGATACACAGACCAACAGTAGGCATGGGGAGGGACAAAGTAAGGAACGCTAAGGAGGGCATAAAAACAAAATTCAAGAGACGGCAAAAAAAGTAACCTTTGAACATATTAAGAATAAGGGAGTGGACTTCGATTAGATGCAAAGTAAAAATTGATGACAAATCTTTATCAGAAATGAGGAGGAGAAACCAGGGAACTGAGGCATATCATCAGATAAATGGAGAAGAACTTGGCCCCATGAGAGGCCATGAGCCAGATGAGGTTTGTCTCCTCCTTTCTCCCCATGGTGGACAGTTGCTGGCCTGCCTGAGACCCCCACCGGCTCCCCTCTTCCCCTTCAGGGAGCATCTCACACCCCAGCCATTTTTCTCCCTGTTCTGTACTCGAAGTTACATTTCTCAAATTCCTCAAGAGTCCCCCCTCTATTTCACAGTCACAGGAAGTTACTTGCAGCATGGGGGTGGGGGGGGTGGGGGCCCAACCATTACCCGCTCGTCTAGTAGCTGCAGCACTTGGCTGAAGGGCCCTAGTGGTGAGCTCAAACGCCACCCTCTCCCAGAAAGCATTCCCAGCACCCCTCATCAAGTAGAAAAGGCCCCTCTCATCACCTTCCTGTCTCAGAGTTTGGGACTTTTGGGGCACTTGCCACTTGCAGACAGAGTGATTTGTTTCCATCTCAGAGTTCTCTCTAGGATCAAAAATTCCTTGGAGCACCCCACCTAATCCCATGCCTGGTACATTATCAAGCCTTAGTGCCTATTCTGTGTATGAACAGTGAGGAGAGGATGGGAAGGAAAGAGAACAAAAGAGAACAAAACGGGTGAAATTTCAGAAAACGGAGAGAGGGACGGTGGAATTGGGGGCAGAGAGAGCTGCCAGCCACCCCTTCTGCCCCTGCTCCTCAAATCACATCAGGTGAGGCATCTGTGTCCTCGGGCTAAAAGGATGATTTGACACAGTGGGGAAGAAGGTGGGGCAACTCTCTCCTTCTCTTGAGTAGTAATAAAACCAAACCAGCTTTGATTTGCTGGGGTGTAAGCTATCCAACTTATGCATATTTTACAACCATTTTTTTTTTCTTTTTGAAACCCCAGGCTAGATTTTCTTTCCTACGAGGTGGTTCTGGGATGCTTTCCCTAGCAGTCTGTCACTGTATCCTCAGGAATGAGAACTGATTTTAATATTCGTCGGAGCCAAACAGAAAATGTGCTTCTAAAAGCAAACAAAGCCTTACAAACACAAACAGCTTTTGCAAACTCTCTAGTCTCTAAGGTTCTGGAGTTGGCTCTCTCCTGGCACCCTGGGTGTTCTCTGTGCCCCTGCTCTGGCTCCTTTGCCTCCGCCCAGGCTAGGGCCTTCCTTGCCTTGGTGTCCTGTCCTTGCTACTCACAGGCGCACTCTCTTAGCTCCATTTATGCCCACGGCTTCAGCTGCCGCCTCCACGCTACTGGGTCGCCGAGTGATGTTTCCAGCTCGGTTCCTGAACCTCAAACTCACGCGTCTGGCTGCCTATTTGGTATCACTTGGCTCTGCCACAGGAACTTCAAACTCAACCTATCTACAGTAAAACCGGGGGCAGCTGGGAGGCTCAGTGGGTAAAGCGTCTGACTCTGGACTCTTGGTTTCGGGTCGGGTCATGATCTTGTGGGTGGAGGGGTGGAGCGCTGGGCTCAGCAGGGAGTCTGCCTGAAGGTTCTCTCCCTCTGCCCCTCCAGCCCTCCCCTCTCTCTCCTTCGTCAAAATAAATAAACAAATCTCTCTTTTTTAAAAACATAAAGTAAAATTGATCAACTCCTCCAGACCTGTTTCACTTCCTATATTCCTCGTTTGGCTTACGAGCACCACTGGCCATCCAGTTTTCTTCGAAATGAACTTTGGGAACTGGCCCAAATTCCTCTTCCTCTCTCATCCTTTATAACCTTGCACAAAATCAACCTCCCGGTCCCATCAATTTGACCTCCTATCACTCGTATGTATCATCCCCTTCTCTCTCTCTCTCTCCTCTGCCCCCATCCAGTTCACTCTCTCATCATCTAGTGTTAGGGCTACAATGGTCTTCTTGTTAATCTCAGATGAATCCTGTTAATCCACAGGCCAGTTCTACTGCGCACACTTCTGCCAAAGCGATCGGACGAACGCAGTTGGACATGTCACTTCCTTGTTCAGAATTCTTCTGTGGCTCCCCTTCGCCCATGACGGAATCTCCCAAAGTCCATCTGTGAGATACTAGGAGCCTCATGAGAAGTTCCTCGCTAAAGGGCTTCTGTGGGAAAGGCTGTGTTTGAGCCACAGTTTGCATATTCACAATGCCTCCCGGCATAGCCAACATTCTGGTCACTTCTCCAGTTTAAAAAAACGGTCTGTTTAACATAGCACCTTCCAACTTATTTGACCTTGGGGCCCTTTCACATGTTACATCTATTAACACCGTGGAGAACTATGTTCTGTAAAACACATTTGGACAAAGTCTAGCCTGGAGAACAGAATCTATGTTCTCGTGTGTGGCTGCTGAGGACCCTCACGATGCAGTCCATAAGTTCCCCTGCATCCTCTAGCGATTCTTTCATCTCCTGTGATTAGAGCCCCCAGATCGTGACTATGCGATGCCTTTTCTTCTGTCCAGAGCACCCTGTCCTCACAGCCTTCTTTGTACTTTGCCCAAGAGGCCCTGGAGACAACTCTTTGAGTGGGCTGGAGGACCGGTCTGTCTGCCCGGCCACCCTCTCAGCTGTGAGTGCCTGGGAGCACAGTACCCAGAGGACAGATGATGGAAGAAAAAGGATGTTTGCCGTTTTAGCAGAATGTGGAAGCATTCTTTTTGCAGTGGTGTAAGGAATTAAGAGTTGGCTACGTAGCGAATAAATTACCTTATTACTAATTGTTTTTCTTTCAGGATTATTCTATGATCGTTAAAAAAAAGGAAAACAATCAAATAAAACTACCTGCCAGGACATTTGTTACTTGTATTCAATATAAACATCCTGAAAATGGCACCTCAATTTTTCAGTCCGGAACCTTTTCTCACATCAAGAGGCATGTTTTACCTGTAACGCTCTTATCTTTCCTATAGTCTCCACTGAACCAAGGGAACCTTCCTCGTTCATCCTAGAAATTCTAGTTTTATGCAAACAAAACAAAACAAAACAAAAAACCCCAAACCCAGATTCTCTTCATTTTAAAAGAATCTGGCTGATTACAACCAAAATTTAAAAAGTCTACCTGTCTAAAAATGTTTTTAGATCTTCTGGATTTGTAAGGCGAAAAGAGTAAGTAAAGGTGAAAGTGGGAATAAATGTAAGTGTGTGATGTCTAACCTGTACGGAAATTCAGACACACCCCTCACTCATGGGACTAGTGACTTCAATGACAAGAGCCAGAGTGCAGAGGGATGCTAGCTGATGTGACCTCCTTGAGCTGTGCGGGCTGGTGCAGCGTCAGGATAAGCGAGCAGGACGTACTTCCATTCACTCTGAACGCTTATCCCTATGTCATTCCTGAGCCAGGTCCTGTTAGCTACCTGGACACTCCTCTACGAAGGCACTGACGACATTTTCATAATCGAAAAGGTACCTCTCACAGCAGGTGTGTGGAAGAGGCACAGGCTTTTCCAGGAATTTGGCTCCCCAGCTGTCAGCTGGAATCCAATGAATCCAATGAAGGATCCATGTAATCCCACCTGCGTTCATCCCATTACAACTCGCCCTGAGTCGTAAACAAACAGGTACAGCTGCTCTCCCTGTCCGGACCCATTTGTTCGTGTTCCAGGACACAGGTGACAGTCCGAAAAGCCACCCTTTGCCTTCTACATGCAGAAAGAGCTAACATCAGGTTTAAGCTGCTATCAGGGAGCTACGGGGTTTAACTCCCATCTGTAGCCCTCGTGAAAGCTGACCGTGAGTCTAAGTAAGGCCCACCTACACACCCGTGTCCTAATAACACGCACAAATGGAAGTTTTTCCTTGGAGAACAAACCACGGAGAGTCCCCTGGTAAAAGACGTAGTCGTAAGTGGAGGGCAAACATGTCCAACAATATCGACAGGCTTTATTTAAGACAAGGACAGAAACCGGGAGGCTGCTCAGGTTTTCATTCCTGGCTCTCCCACTCACTCAAGTCCCTTACCCTCTCTGTAATCAGTTTTCTCCTTCCTCTCCTCTGCACTGTGGCTCTCATATGGCTTTTCGCAGGAGTGAATGTGGAGAGACACTTAGAATGTCACTAGCTCATAGTAAATGCTCAGTAAAAGTTCGCTATTCTTGCCATACTTCCATTTTAAGTGGCAATATTGCACTTGGGGATGCTGACAAAACCTGGCTGGAGAGCCAGCCTAGGCAGTGGACTGGTACAGGAGGGGGTGAATCACTTGCCTCCAAGTGGCGTCCCAAAGCAACAGCCGACTCCTACCGCGCAGCCCACGGTCAGCATGTCAGTGTAATAGTATGGCTGCTACTGGGGGAGAGACAGACAGACAGACAGATGGGAGGGGCAGGGAAGGGGGCCAGAGAGGAATGGAGAACAAGCAAGGGTGGAGAATAAGGCAGAAGGGGAGGCTTAAGTCACAGGGAATCAGAGTGGCCCCCTCCTCCCCAGTGATTCCCAGGCCAAGTGAAACTCAGTTAGTTTGGCAAACAGGAAGTGACCTCATAGCGCAAGTCCAAACACAGAAAATGAAATAAAAGATAAATATGTGGAAGGCACGTCAGCCAATAAGGGATCATCAGAGAGGGGCTGGAGATGGGGATGGCCCAGGGCAAGAAGTGTCAGTAGCAAGAGAAACAGAAAGGACTCCAGACAAACAGTACCAGTAAAGCCTGCGTAAACCAGCCGCCAGCCACAAAGGAACACACAGCCCTCTGGTAGAGAAGTATGGGTGCCTGCAAGCCAGGGGCTGCGATCTGGGTCACTCTTTGAATGCCCACGCACTAGTCCTGTTGGCGAGCACCCTCTCCACCCCAAAGGTTAGGCAGCCACTCCAACCCCCTTCCAAGTCGTGCTCGGGGAACAGGGTAGGGAGGAAGTGGGACTTGCCTCCAATAGGGGCTGCAAAGCAGCATCCCACGCCCACCGCACAGGCCGACACCAGGAGATCAAGCTGCCCAGACACGGTCTGCAACAGAGAAGCACGCAGGACGAGGAGAGTAGAGGGCTGGGGCTGGCAGCAGTGTTCATGAGGGATGGGGTGGGGGCTAGGGAGACCAAGGGACAGGGCTAGACAGGAGGGCAGCAGAGGAACTGGCCAGGGTGCAGGTCTAGAGCAGGGGTGTGGATCAAAAAGGGAGGGGTGTCTTGGAGATGGCAATATGTGGCTGGGGTAGGCGGGTGGGGGTATGTGTGAAGAGGATAAGGGAGCGTGGGTTAGCGCAGTGCCCCACGTCAGCATCGCGGCCAGCCCAGCACAGACAGCCCTCCCGAGGCCCCGAACACACACAGCCCCTCCCTCATTTTACTTTCTCAACCTTACCTCATAGACTCCACAGAACATCGACATAAACCTGCTGAGGACAGCAGCACAGATGCTGGCGATGTGGACAAAAGGGCCCTGAGAGAGAGAAGGAGTGGACAGGTCAGGAGCTGGGGGTCCAGATGGGAGATTTGTGGCTCCAGGCACTGAGCAAGGTGCCCAAAATACAGTAGTGAGCAAGACAGAGGGTGTGCCCTCGGGATCTACAATCCAGAGAGCAAGGGGTGGGGTGGGCCAGCATCTCAGGGAAGCTCTGGGGACAGAAGATGAGGGAGGGTGAGGGGAGGAGGAGGCAGGACAGACGAGGGTACAGTGGGGGACTAGAGAAGGCACTCAGCCATCACAACTGAGCAGTATCTCCACTGAGATGAAGTTGGGAGCCACATGCATGTCAGGAAGAACAGAGAACAGCAGGGGCAGGAGCCCTGGTACAGGAACAGCTTGTGTGGTTGAGGGACGGGAAGAGCTTGTCACCCAAACACAGTGAATGAAGGGCAGCTTGAGAGGCCCAGTGACCAGAGAGAAGCCAGATCCCCATAGGTCTCCTAGGCCCCAGTAAGAAGTTGAGGTTTTATTGTGAGAAGACTGGGAAGCCATTAGAAGTTCCGAAGCACACGTCAACCAGTACTGACTGCTTTTTGGAAAGACGACTCTGGCTGCCATGTGGATCCCCGATTGTAGCAGGGCAAGAATGCACAGCAGCGAAACCTTGGAAAAAGCACAGCCTTTTTCTGGGTCTCAGCTTCCACATATTAAAACAAGGAAATTGGTGCTCAACTGGGGGAGACTCTCTATTCCCCCCAACCCCGGGGACATTTGCCAGTGTCTGGAGATATTCTGATTGTCAAAACTGGGGGGTACTCCTGGCATCTAGGGAGTAGAGGTCAGGGGTACTGCTAACCTCCTACAATGCACAGGGGAGCCCCTCAGAACCCAGAATTATCCAGCCCCAAATGTCCACAGTGCCCAGGCTGGAGGCTCTGCTCTAAGTCACTACCAGCTCAGACAGGTCTGTCATTCTGCGTCAGGACTAGGAACTTCCTGAGTATTGATTTCCTTCCCCAGTGCCCCTTGGCGCTGCCTGTTCCTGGGCCCGGGGCTCCCTCTGGGCTCAGTGCTGCCCTCTGCTGGAGTACCAGTGGACCTACCTCCTTCCCCACAGGAATGCCACTGCCCAGCCCCGCAGTCAAGGCCACAACCTTGGCCACAAAGGCCTTGAGGGTGAGATATTCCTTCAGGATCACCCCACGGAGTATTGTCTTCATTTCAGGGATTCCAGAGCCTAGAAGGGTCAAAGAATGATTATGCGCAGCTTCCAACAAGAGGTTCAAAGGGAGAGGAATGTCCAGACAGTGGACCTGGCGATGGGGGTGGGTGGGGGGACGATGGCAGAGCAGGGGAAAGGGTTGTCAGGAGGGCTGGGAGGAGGAGAAAGGGGACTGGAAAGGTCTGGAGGCCAATGAGATTGTGCTGACGACATGACACGGGGAGGATGGGGTCAGTTCTCACCAACAGCCTGGGGAGAGATGAGGTGGCAGAAGAGGGCACTGAAGAGGATGAGAGTTAGTGGGAAGGTGACCCAGACCAGGTACTGCAGAGGCAGGTTGGGCTGCATCTGGTAATAGCTCCACTTGTAGGCTGCAGAGACACGAGCCTGGGTTCAGTCCCAGGGTGGCGGGGATGTCGCCGCTCCCCCACGGCCGCAGCGCACTGGTGTGCCGTGAACGTCCTCATGCCCCGGCGATGCTGCCGACCCCACTCGAGCAGGCACACTGTTAGCAACTGTGCCGGCTGGCCCAGAACTGAGGGGTGCCTGGGACTCGGGGTAGTCAGTGCTCAAACCAAAAAAGTCCTGGGAAAATGGGGAGGAGTTGGTCACCTAATTAGAGGGGCATCGTCAGCTTGGCTGGTAGCAGGTGAAGGGGCAGGAGAAATGGATCTGGGTCCAGATCTGGTCTTATCCTGGGCCAGATCTCCTCTGGGCAACACCTGCCTCCCCGAACACCCAACTTGTCCTAGGTAGGAACTCAAGAAACACCCATCGTGAGGGAGAGGCTGAAGGGCCCCGGTAAACCTACCCTGAAGGGTTTTGGCACTGACATAGTCCATGCTCCAGCTAACCAGAGCCATAAGCAGTCCCAGGAGCACCAGAAAGATCCAGTCTTCTCCTAATTTTCTTCTCATCACATGTCCCAGGCGGTGGACACAGCCTGAGAAGAGGGAAGGGCAAAGGAGAGCAGCTATCCAGTCACCACTGTGGGCTCTGACTGAGGACTGGACTGGAAGAGCGGGGCCCCCAGGGTCTTGCTGTATGGTTCATTCACCAAGCTTCTATTCACCTCTCTGCCAGCTGTGCCCCTGTCCCTTCCAAAGGCACCCCAGTCCAATTCCCCTTGGGATACCTGAATGCCTTCTGAAACTCTTGTTTCCTGGGGGGCAAGTGGGAGAGTAGGGAATAAGGCAAAGTGAGAGGAGACAGGGAGGGATGCCTTTCCTTGTTGCTAGGAGGACTCCAGTGTGGATATGGGGAGGGTGGAGAGTGGGTACTTCACAGTTATTCTCCTAGACCCTGTACTTCCTTCCACTCCAGATGCCTTTAGCCCACAGGCCCCATCACCTTGACATTTAGAATAGTGATCCTCATCCTTGCTGTCCACGCTCTCACTGGAGCCCGTCTTCTTGGGCATCCCTGTGTCCTGCTCCTTGTCTGAGAATTGCTGTTTGTAATGACCATAAATCTGGACACAGAGAGAATGGGAAATGTCTGTTTTGCTGGAGGTAGAAGAAATAGATAAGAGGGAAGCGCAGTGACCTGCAGGGAAAACAGCTTTTTAAACTCCTGGGTGTTGAGGGCCTAGCATAGGACCCTTTTGTGGCCGAACCCGCCCTGAGCTCTCTGCATGCTTCTACTCCTTACCTACCTGTCCATCCCCATCCTCTCTCTGTCTGCGCCCATCTTGGTCAAGGGAGGCCTTCAAGGAGGCCAATTCCTACTCTGCAGTAGAGGCACAGGAACTCTGCTAAGACTGGACATCCGTGTCAATTAGGTGTTTTGTTCCAGCTTACGGTGTTTCAGCCTCTGTCTCTCTACCATCCTAGCCACCCCCTTCCTTCCTAGGAATCCTCACATGGACCCATGAGGACAGACAAGAAGGTGACTCTTGGTTTTTCCATCTTGGTGTGTCTGGCCTTTCTTGAGGCCCCTCAGATGCTCTGCCAAGCTCAGAGAAAGCCCATCCACCTTGCCTCCCTGTGCTCATGTGCACAAACAGGAGCCAGTCCTGGTAAGGGACTCCCTAGACCAGGATAACTAGATGCTCACTAAGTGTGGGGAGGGCAGAGTGGTACCCCTCTGATCTGGTAGCCCTCTGCTCTCATTGCTGTGCAGAGCATGTGTGTTTGGGGCACGGGGAGCAAGGGCTCTCACTGCTTTTAGTCTGTCCTTCCCCAACTGTACTAGGTCTGTCCTCCGAGGCCAGGGTCAGGCCAGGCCGTGTTGCTGGTTCTGGGAGAGCCTGGGTAAGAGAGATCTGATTTCACAATATGAGTGGCAGCGTTTACGCCCCAGTTCTGGACAGGCGCACACTAACGGCCTGGCTCATGGCTGTTTCATCTTCTGGGATGAGGTTAGTGACTGAGGGAGACAGTGTGTCCCTCCCTGTCCCACCTGGCCTCAGAGGGCAGACACTACCCGTGCAGTTTAGGGCATGTCCCTCTCCACTTGCTGTCTCGGCTGCCTCTGGTCCTAGGCTGGTGGAGGTGAGGGAGGGGGTCCTCCAAACCAAACCCTGGCTGGGAAACACCTAAAGGAGCCAAATCAGAGCCAGCTGGTTCAGGGCTGAGCACAGCATCAAAGCAGGTCTGGGGAGGGAAAGGACGACCCAAATCTGAAGGGGATGCTGCGTCTGGGATTCATGGACAGAAACACCAGTGTGTGGAGCAGGGAGGCTGGGCATGGGAAGGACAGCTGAAACAATGTCGACAAAATATTGCTAATTGTTGAAGCTGGGTAAGGGGTGCTTGGGGATTCATCATATGAGTCTATTTTTAAGTTTGACATTTTCCATAATGAAAATTAAGACTTAAGACTTAAGTCCAAACCCCTTGTCTTTGCTTTCAAGCCAACTCTACTTCCCAAATTAATTTACCATTCCTTTCCCGCATGAAGCTCCATGCTAGTCTGCCTGGTCTCCTGTCAGCAGAAAGTGCCTTTTACTTTTCACTCTCCCCACCCAGGTAGCTTGGTGAACACGGTGAGAAGAGCCCAAGGCCATGAGCAGGGGTCTTTCTGTCCAATCCCATCCTGTGTTCCAAGGCCAGAGCAGGCTCCAGCTTCCCTAGGAAACGCCCTCCCTTCCACTCACCATTCCAGCCTCCTCTGACTTTGTGCCCCCCCCCCCCCCCCCTCCCCCCCCCCCCCCCCCCCCCCCGCCGCCCCTTTTCCCCAGGGTTGCCTCATGTTGGGGACTAAGACTGCAGCGTGAATCTTACAGACTCGTGGCCCCCAATGCTGGCATCACCCGTGAAGTCCCCCTCAGGTCCCCACCCTGTCTAGATCCCCCTAATCACTCCTAGACCTATCTTCAGCTAAAACACTTTTAAAGTCTGGCTTCCTGGTCCTGACAGGATCCATCCTGTGATACTCTACAATCGCCTTTCCTCACTGACCCTCACTCACTTCCCTGTCAATCCATGGCAACCTCAGAAGCTTTCCTGTGGTCGTGCCCTCCCATTTCCCCTTTCTAGATGTCTGCGATGCACCACTCCCCACTCCTGGGCAGGGAGGTTATTCCTGGATATCCCTGGACACTCCCAATCCCCTCTCCCCAGGAACATGCACCTCGACCTTCCCAGGCCCCTACCACTTAATAGGTTCTTATCTGATCAACCCTTCCCACCTAAAAGTTTGATTGCATTTCTTCTGCTCCTGTTGACCCCGGTGTATCTTTGATCACTCACAAGCAATCCAGTTAGTTTCCTCTACTTATCTTAGCACCTTCCTTCTGCCTTCTCAGAAGTGTTTGTGCGTGTTCTGCTGAGGGTCAGGAGGGAGAGCTCTGACGGTGTCTGCATTGGGGTGAGGGTGTAAGACACAGCTTGCACACACAGGGGTGTGGGTTCCCATGCCTATCACTCCATGCAGGTTATGTAAGCACGAGCTAGTCCAGCATGTGTCGCTGTGCCGGTCCCCCCAGGATTCGGGTGTTCCGTTAGTCAGGGTTATATAAAACCGCATGGGTCTCTAAATGCATGCTTGGCTGAGCTCGGCCCTTTGAAGGATTTTCGTATTTTGAACACATTACCATGTACTTTTTTAAGTTAAAAGATTAACACTTTTGCCTCTTCTCACCTAATTCCTAATTTCCCCCAATCCATCACACAACTATCTCCTTGATTCCACCACCCTTTCCCCTTAGGACTTTACCTGTGTGGGGCGGGTGTTGGCACGGGGGCCTGCATCCCTCCGGAGCCTGTGCTGAAGGGCCCCGCTCTCAGAGGGCAGTCCGTAGCTGGTGCAGTGTTCGAAGGGCACATACTGGTACTGGGGAGCACTACCCCACCAGCTTTGTTCGCCCCCACGCCGCAGGGACCCAGCTGGCTCCATGTTCCCTCCCTGGGCCAGGCCTTGGCCTGCTCGCCCCCGTCCTCCTCCCAATACAGCTCCTTAAGCCTGTCCTCTTGCCTGTCCCCAAGGCGTCTGGGGCAGCATGCCCACCCCCAGCTATTTATAGCCATCTCTCTGTCACATGACCCCCCCCCCACTGCCACATCTGATCTGCTTGGGGTCGAAGCAGGTGTGAGAGCAGTATGGGGGAGGGGCTGGGAGGAGAACCTGAGGGACAGCCCCACAGGGAATTCCCTCAGCAGGGCCAGCGGCACTGTCCCCCTCCATAGCCACAAGGAGGCTTCCAGCCCCAAGGCACTGGGCCCTCTATAAATATTGCTCAGACCAGGACAGAGAGCAGCTCAGCATGCTCTCCAACCTTCGTGCTCCCAGGGAGTGGCAGATCTGCACCCTCTTCCACGCGTGGAGAGGTGAGGGGTGGCCACTGGAGGGATTCTAACGTCTGGGAACACGGGAGGGTAACTCACCGGAGAGAGCAACTGGTGCCTTTCTGCCCGCTTTTCCTGTTGGGCTGCTCCCAGCTCAGTATCTTCCCAAGACTGAGTCCTCATCTGTTGGACCAGCTCTCCCAACCCATCCGATTTTCAGTTTTCTCCTCCAGCTTTGCTATTTCTATCTGCCAGATGCTGCTAATAATGCTTTGGTGTCATCCCCTTGACCCCACCCTTATTACCCATTGGGTGTGGGAAGCAGGGGTAACAGCCATGGATTCTGGCCTTTCTCCCACTTCCCAGACAGATATGTCAATCACACCAGAAGCCTGGACTCTTCACGGAGGGACTGAGCTTCTACTTAGACTGTGAAGCACCTGCCTAGGTCTGTCAGGGCAGGTTAGATAACAGGGGAGAAGGGGAAGTGGGCCAGAGGCGTGCAGGAGGCCGGAGTCGGGGCAGGGAGTAAGTTTATCTCATCACAAGTCCCACAAACATAAAAGATGAGGGGAAGTACTCTGCTCTTCTTCCCTTTTCCAATCAATAAACAGATTTTGGCCAAGGCCAAACTACTTTATCCGCTGTCACTTTTTAAAAAAACGGATTTTCCTAGGACATTCCTTCCCCTGTGAACTCTTCACCTTAGAAGAAGTTACAAACACGAGCCAATGTATAGTTTACAATCTGTCACTAAGTAGGGTCTGCCCCAGAATATTCCAAGTTCAGGGACAGCAGAATAGGGACACCAATCATCTGGTCTACAGTTAAATCTTGATCTCAGCTAACTGAAACCACCCAAAGCAGGTGAGACAGATGCCGTTAAAAGCAGGTTGTCTGGGGCACCAGGTTGGCTCATCTGATGGAGGATAGGGCTCCTGATCTTGAGGGTATAAGTCGGGCCCCATGTTGAGTATAGAGATTACTTACAGAAATAAATCTTTTTTTTTTTTTAATAAAAGCATGTTTTCTAACATAAATCCTACAGCTTGAAGGCCTATAATCCACCAGCAATGATTAAAAACATATGACAGTTTGAGGGACTTGAAGGCTGTGACTTTCACCTTCTCTCTAGGCAGAATGAACATAAGAGATCTAAGTATTAGGTATAAAATGAAAGGAATATTTCTTAATAAGGACAGTACAGTGCCAAGGTGAAGGTGGATTCTTTGGGGGGTTTCGGAAACAGAAAGACTGTCACCTGTTTGTGGAGCATGGCTCTCCTGAAGGGAGCCAGTTTTTACAAGGACATCAATAATCCCGAGAACACAATTACTATTTCTACACTATTCCTTAGAAAATCAGGACCTGGTTACAGATTCCAAGATTTGAAGGCCAGTGGGACCAGGAAAATCCTCATTCCACCAAACCAAGTAGAAATGCCAGCTGCAATTCTAAAGACCAGATCCTGAAACTGGGAGGGTCAAGGAAATGTACAGCGGCTAATGCTAGAGAGCAAGGATTTGTAATTATCTTGAGTTTGACATCACAAAGAGTTAAAATCTCATGGGCTACCAACCTTTAAGAGAACAAGAAAATAAAATGTAAACTATGACTACCCTCCACCCAACAACTCACAGGGACCGGTGCTTAGGGTCTTATTTGGAAGATGGGTTTCTAAGGAGTTCTGTGAAAAGCTCCAAAATCTGGAAACAAACTTGTAAGCATGCATGCGTTCTATTAGGTATGTATATTGTGTAAGTAAGTATTCTTCTGATATTTTGATTTTCTTGAGGTCCATGATACCAAATAAAACCTAGAGGCTTCTGGAATTGCTATTTGAAGGAAGGCTGTCAAAAATAACCATAGTGTGTGTTGGAGTATAGGTGGGTGCGAGCGAGCCAGCCCCTTGGCATTCCATCAATTTAAGCATGAGCTTTCTGGGTTACACCCCTGTTTCCAGACCTCTTCAAATCTGGCCCCCCAGCCCACTGGACAACACACCATTATTCTTTTAAGGGCTTCTGGCTGTCACTTTCCCTTTGCACATCCAGCCTGGCACCAAACCCAGAACCACCTACTTTCTAGTATCACCTAGGCAACAGTGACCCCCTCACCCCACACTTTCTCTCTAGATGTACTCACTGGTAGTCATTTCTCCTCTACTCCCCATTGGACCTTGCCCCACAGATCTTGAGAAATCCTTGGTCCCTTCCAAGGCCTACAGAAGACCTTCCTGATAGCCCTGGACAGGTCTCTCTCTCCCACTTCTGGTTTTTCAAACACGATACACTTTTTGCCTATTCTCTACCTAGCTGGCACAAAGATGGAATAGTCTTTGGTCTCAGGCTCATTCTCCCAGTTCAGTGGGAGAAATCTTTCTTCCCCCAAAAGTGAGGGGGGGAAAAAAAAATCTCATGCTAGGAAGCCCCAAACACAATACTGTTAGCAAGAAGCGTATACTCAAGGTAACATTTTCACATCCTGACCTCAGTTTCTACAGAAAGGCAGTAACTTGGGGGGTTATGGTAATAAAAGAAAACTCATCAGTGTCTGCTCCGAGAGTAAGCACTGAGTATGAATGTGTCATGGAACTGAAGCTCACTGTGGCAGATCCTCAAGTGTCTGTGGTGCGCTAATACCTGCTAACACCATGTTGTGAGTTTGTTTCATCCTCACAGGGACCTTTTGAGGGAGAAATAATTTTCCTCCTTCTTAGCTAAGGGAAACTGAGGTTCCATGAGGTTAGGTACCTTAGCCAAGGTCTCCAGTATCTCAAAAGTTTTGGGCCAGCTTTCAAAACCTATTTAAGTCTGAGTTCGTGGCCTTAAAGCTACATTTCTTCCTTTTTTGTGTATTTGAAGTCTTTGAGCCTCATTTCCTTCTTCTGAAAAAAACAAAACAAAACAAAACAAACAAACAAAAAAAACAACTAGGAAAATGACTAGATCGTGGGCCTGCAGGGAGGGCAGACTGTAAAGGTGAAAGTGGTCCCTTGCCGTGGCCATCGTTGCTGTGTTCCTCCTCTGACCAGACCAGATGCCTGCCCTGCCCGCCCCTCAAATAGAGGCTCCACTCTCCTGGCCCACGTTTCCTCTTCCCCCTTACAGGAAGCAGGATGGAGGAGAGCAGCAGAGAAGGGCAGCCCCCAGCTCAGGGAGGGGGATAATTTTAGCAGAGAATCCCTGGCAGAGGTAGCAGGGGGGAAGGGAAGAGAGCTATGAAATCCAACCTGATACTCTCATTCAAGGGCGGGGTGGGAAGGACACGCAATCTGAGTCAGAAACCAGCGCCTCGCTCTGTGATTCCCAAACGTACACTTCCAGAAAGTTTGCTTATGCTGGAAATGGGCACTCTGCTTACTCCTATGGCTCCAGTAATTTCTTAACCTCTTCGAGGCTCTGCAACCCTTCTTCTCCTGAGGACAGCCGCTGCTTTCCCCTGCGGTGCAGCCAAGCAGTGTCAAGAGACTTTTCATGCCTTCCTGTGTTCTTCAGCCAGTTCTCCTCCCTCCACTTGCTGATATGCCTCAGCTCAACTTAATCTCTTTTTGATCTTCCTCCTCCTCCTATCTCCCAACCACTCTCCCCCAGGTCCCACTGATGCTTACCACCAAGATGTTCCTAAAGAATTTTCCATCTCCTTCCATGGCCCACATGCACTTACATACTCGTCTCTCCATGCACATACTCTGGACACATTGCAACCCAAGAATTTACCAACCTACAGAGCCCACTGCTTAGATCTCTTTCATGCTGCCCTGAGTTCTCCCACAGTCCGTGTCCACTCTAGAAAACCTTAAATCCAACTTGGGGCCACGGAGATTCTATAATCCTCACCATTTTGTAATTCCAGCCCAATCTCTTTCTCCAGCCTCCATCCCATAATCTACATAATCCAGAAACAACACTGCTTGCTAATAACTCTTAGGTCACCTCTGACCCTGAGAAATCCCAGTGTCAGCTATATTCTGGGCAGCTGCCTATGGCCATGACAGCTGAGATGGGTCCCCACCTGTATATGTAACAAAGATCGTGGCAGCAAAGGGAGAAGGGTGTTCAGCTCTGTTTGCCTTGGGATGTGGTGAGGGGTGCTGTGAAGGGCCAAGAAAATGAGAATATATGAACTTCAGAAGATTATCTGTGGAAAAAGAGATGTCAGGCACACATCAGCAATAAATATGAGCATTTATTTGGCACCTGAAGGCAATATAAAATCCTGGCAGTGGGAAATGGAAAGGTTCTATCACCTAAATACTTCCATATGATACTGATCCAAAAGCAGGACTCAGCAAAAATCTCCAAACCCCCCGGCTCACACAACAAGTATTTACTGAGCATCTGAACTACTACAGGCTGAGCACTGTGCCAGGGATCATGGGAGATGTGGAAGATGGCATCTGACACATGACATCTGTCTTCACAAGCTAGTACTATCAGTGGATAAAACAAAACACTTGAAAAAACCTAGAGTATAAATACTAAACTGTGTATATTGTTCAAGGGAAATTTTGTCCAGAAGTAGGGTTCTAGCCAGGGTTGCTTTCTTCCTTCACCCAAAAACATTTATTGAAGACCTACCATGTGCCAGGTGCTGGGTATATACTGGTGAACAAAAGAAACAGAGACAAGGTTTCTATCCTCTGGGAGCTTACAACCTAGTAGGGGAAACAGAAATGACCAAGTGAAGCAAGCAAAAACGTAATTATAAATTGTGCTAAGTGCAATGAAGGAATTAAACAGAATGCAGTAATGAAGAAACATGGAAGATTATTTAGACAGAATGACCCAAGAAGGCCTCCACAAGAAGGTGGCATTTAAGCCAAGATTTGTGAGGAATGGAGCTCAGTAGACCCCAGAAAAGTGTCTGTGATGGTCCAGGGCGGGAAAGACCTCAGCATGTTTGAGAAACTGGGGATGGTGCTGAGACAGTCACTTAGAAGGAAATCAGCCTTTAACGAGGTTCAAGGGGAAGGTAGGAGCCATATAGGCCAAGGTTAGGAGTTTGGACATTACTTCAGGTATAACAGAAATCTTAGCAGGGGAGTGAGATGATCAGATTTATATTTAAAAACCCCAAACCAAAATCTGTCATATAGAGATCAGATTGGAGGGACAAGAGAAGTCCCTGAAGAACAGGGAAAGCAGGACACATGGCACAGATAAAGAAGATTTCTAGGGGACACAGCACGTACAGCCAACAGCCTCTCTAAGATGGAGACCCGGGAGAAGGGAAAACGGGCCATATAAAATCAAAGGGGATTTAATACTGAAACAGAAAGCAGGAACAAGCTACCACATTATATCTGTGAGCAGCCAAATGATCCAATTAAAGTAGTATATTAGACAGATTTGGTGGCAGCAGTAAACAGGATGAGAAGAAGGTGAAAGGGGAGAAACAGGAAGTAGGGAGATAACAACTAGGATGCTTTTTTAAGAAAAGGACATTTCAGAGGAAGCAAAAGATAAGGTGACAGGTTAGAGTATGAGGAAGCGTACCACCCTAATCTGCCTCTGCTAACACTCTCTGCTGAGGTTCATCTCAGTAACCAAGCTCAGAGAGAGAATCTCTGATTAAGAAAACTCTGGAACTTCCCTGAGCAAAGATCAAGGAGTTCCAGGTACCAGGGGTCCTCAGTAGGATTCCTTGAGCCCAAAGGAGCCAACTGCGGAGCGAAGAACCCCAGCCTTCCACTGGGTGGCCTTGCGGTCCCAACCACATGGGTCCCGACCACACACGCGAAAGCCATATGCCGCCAGTCCTGTCTGCCCTTTTGAGGCAAAATGAAAAATGTCTACTTTGAATCAGAATGCTTTCCAAACTCTCAGTCTGGGATAAATGGGGTGGAAATATGAAAGGAAAAAGAAAGGGGATGGTTTCCGAAACGTCTCAGCTAATGTAATAAAAGCAATTACCAAAGTGCTGTCTACCAAAGACCTGGGGGCAGGAAGTGAACACTAACTGTGGGGAAACCCACATGCCCTCTCCCCATAAAGACACTGTGCTCTTAATATCATCGGCCAGGCTCCTCTACTGCAGCTGCCCATCCGGCCAGAGTCCGCTCTACAGGAAGGGAGCTGCCACAGGAGGGGCTGGCCTGTGGTCCCTTGCACCCAGGCGGAGAGGACGGGCAAGCTCCACAAGCCCTGGGAGATTCCCAGTCCCTGAGGGGGAAGAGACACCGCGCACCAGAACAGGACAGGGCCCATCAGGCCTCCACGCGGCAGGGCTGTGGGCACGGCGTCACGTGGGAGGGTGGCCCGGGAACAGGTAGAGAGGGCGGCACAGGGTGCTACAGTACTCGGACATCTCCTTGCAGCGGTGGAACTCCGTGCCAGGGGCGTAGCCCTCACGCTCCTTGATGAGCGCATTCACCTGCGAAGACAGAAACCCACCGTCCCCCGATCTGAGCCTCTCGGCACAAGGGGCAGGCTGAGACAATGACAGACAGGGTGAGTCAGGAGGGCAGAACCTGAGCAGACAAGAGCCGGACGGAAATGACTGACCTTCACGAGCATGTCAGCCACATGCATGTCACAAGCCCGCTCGGAGAACACCTGGGTGAGGGCCTCAATATACCAGGAACCCCGTTTGGTGTTTCGCATGGCAGCAGTCCCTGCAACAAGGATGGTGCCACCCACAGTGTGAAGGTCACAGCACAGCTTACACGGCTGGGTGTCCCAAACTTGACTTCCATGGCATCCTGTACCCTCCCCACTCAGAGAGCCTGGGGGCAAATGTGCACGCCTCTGGGAGCTCCGAATACCTCTGAGGCAGGCATAGCCACAGATCATGTCTGAGCGTGTGGGCAGTCGGGTCTTCAGCATCTCCTCTTTGCTGGCGTCACTCTCCTCGCACTCAGAGGATCCTGTGTGGTTCTTTCCGTCTCGCTGGTCCACCCCACGGTCTGTTTCATCTGTAGCAAAGGCAGACAGAATAGACAAAGACGTTATTTCCTCCCGTGGCTCCTGAGCCTGCCACAGGCAAGCCAGAGTTCCCTGTCACCTTCACTGGGAAGAGCCATTTCCAGCTGCTGCCTCCAATCTCCGGCTGATGAATTAAAAAAAATAATCATTACTCCCATTCCTGCCCAGCTTCATCCACTCTGCGCAAGACGGAAATTGCCAAACACCCCTTGTAATCAGAAGTAAAAATCCTATGTCTTTACTTGTTCAATTAGCAATACACCTGGAAGTCACAGTGCTTTTTATGACAATACATAATTAAATGCTGACAAATCAGTTTTATATATAAATAGGAAAACCAAGTTAATAAATGGATAATACGATTACTACATGCACGATGTACGAAAATCACCTCAAATCTATGTTATCAATAAAAAAATTTTTAAAAACCCCGAATGTGATCAGTTTCTAAATCTTTTGGTTATTTTTAGGTTACTTACTCCTTATTAATTTCATAAGTCAAATTGTGGCAGGCATCCAAGATTTAAGAGAAATTTGTAAAAGGAAAAACTTAAAAATTGGGATAATTTGATTATTTTCTTCTATGTGATTGAAAAAGAACACTTACTAAATTTTAGCAATTTTCAACATACCTGGACTACATGTCCAACCTCTTGACCCAGGCCTTACCTATGCCCAGACATACTCTTTTTTGGATGTTGCTGTTTTATTTTGGAGGTGGGTGGGATACAGTCAGTAGGAAAAAGAGACAGGGAAGACACATAGCTTAACACACCAAAAATAAGAAAGCGAAGCTTTTTACAGTATTCCTACGCCAGGCAACACTTGAGAGCCCAAAAGGCAAGTGAAGCTTGAAGAATTATGGGGAAATGACCAAAATTCGCTGATCCCAAAAAAAGTTATTGAGCAACTGCCATGTGTCAGGCACTATTTTGCATTAAGCCCCAGAATGTAAAGATTCCTGCCCTTATAGACCTCACACTCTAGTTTAGGAGCCAGGCAACTGCAGAAAGGAGAATAATTTTATAGACATCAGTTATATTAACTAATAAGTACGACAGTAGACAGGGGAGTTCAAATCTTCAAAGGTCATCTCTTGAAGGATTACATTTTAGAGAGAAGATTCAGATTACCCCAGGAAAGAGCAATTCTCCCTATCCAGATCTGACACTGTATATATATCTCTGAATATAGTAAGAGAAAATGATCATAAATGTCTTTATTTCATTTTATTTTGCCAGTAATACCTCCTGAAGGCAATAGGCCTATCTAAATGTGTCCCTCAAGGAAAAGGAAACTTTCTTGGCTTCGAGTCTCAGATCTATTTATCAATAAATGTTATTGCTTCTACCAGTAACACAAAATCCCATCTATTTTCTGTGTGACTACTACAGTTTTTGAGAAGATTAATTTTCATCCCTTTGTTCAATATTTATTAAGTGCTACCATGTATCAGGCAGTGCCCTGGGTCTGTGCATCTAGCCGGTGAATAAACAGTAAGTTCCTGCCCTCACAAACTCTTCCCTCACTGTAGCTCTCCAGCATGGTAATTGTCCTGGAAAAGAATCCATCACATTATTTCTTGAGCTACCAACAGCTCCACACTATTATGTGCTGAAGCCCAAAATCTCAGCTTGACTAAAGGTTTATCATCAGCTGGATGTACTGCCTGCAGCCAGCCTTATCTTACTACACACCTACCAATGCCCCTTCTTTAAATTAGATCCAGGCAGACTTCTGGCCCAGGACAACATTTTGGGGGAGGGCGGCTGTCCTTCCAGTCTTGGTGTGCTTGTCATCTTGTATCCCTGTCTCCTCTGAAAGGCCCTATTGACTACTCCACACCTATGCAGATTTTATCCTTCTGGGTCCAAATTAAGCCACATTAAAATACTTATGAAATGTCTTCAAACTAAGCCGGCTTAAAACAATCTATTCCTTACTGCTTATTCCTTCATATGTATGGCCTGTATCTCACTAATTTTCCCCTTGCTTGAGGCCTCCGAATCATTCTCAAGTTACTGCGTGTATACTTGCATTATCTTTTTAGTAACTGGAAGGCTCTTTCAAGAGACACATTTTTTTTTCTTTTTTCCTTTTTTTAGATAGTAGCAGTTTGAGAGACCACACATTTTCTTCTGTTTTTCTGATAGTAACTTAGTCATGTTGTAGAACCATAATAAATTATATTCTTTGGTGATATCAGAAAGATAATGCTAACCATTTATATTTGTTGAATACACGAGAGATAAGAATTATTTAAATGTTAGGAGAAAGTGCCCTTTAAACGAAACTATAAGCCCCTTGAGGGCACGGACCATGCCGTTAACAGTCACAGCTGGCCTCTTCTATGGATTGACTGTGAGCCAGGTGCAAAATAAGCCCCTCATACATATTATTCCATTCAATTATCACAACAACATTATGAAGTAGGTCTGATTACTACCTACAGTTTATATGGAGGAAATTAAGGTGGAGGGACATCAAGGAACTTCTCTAACTTGATATAGCTAAAAGTGGTTAGAGCTTTTAATTATTACGGTTTCCCTCTAGGAGAAGAAGTATGCTGGCATGTCTTCGGAGCATAGCCTCGGGGTCCCGGCTCTTCGAGGTTAGGAGACTGCATGCGAGAAAGAAGAGGGATGGAAGCAGCTCAAGGCTGAGTAAGAGCCACAGCCCGGCTCGGGGCTTCTGCACTCCTGGCCTGCACGCTACAGGGATGAAGCAGAGAAGAGGCAACAACGGAGTGCCGATGAGAAGAGAAGAGGGGAAGAGGCTGGAGAAAAGAGGAAGGGCATGAAGGGAGAGAGAGAAAGAAGAGACAGACAGAAGCTCCTTAACTGCAATGGGTAACAGAAACAAGCACGCCAGAGTTAATAGCCCAGAAGAAGTGAGAGTTCTCCAGGAAGAAGGCACAGGCACTGAGAAAGAGAGTCCTGAGAAGAGGAGATGGTGGTGCACAGAGAGCTGACCAGCCTGAGAGCCATGGGCTGCCCAAGTCCCAGCACACCCCATGCATTGGGAGACACTTACAGAGCAAGAGAGGCGGTGGCAGCAGTGAACAGAAGGAGGTGCCCAAGGGATCCAATAGCACCTGAGAGGAGCAAACAGGAGAGTGAGAGCTGGTGGGAGGCTGCCCAGGAGCCACCACCCAGGTGCGGACCTGCCAGGGCACTCACCTCCACGGCAGGCCTGGATGAAGAACATTTTCGGTTTGTTCTGTAGCTTTGGGCAGCTGGCGTTGTCAAAGAGCTGAAAAACCTCTTGAAGCTGCCAGAAAGACGAGAAGAGAGGTTAAGCAGACCGCAGGCCTTTCTGAGTCCTCCATGTACTACGGCAACGAGAGAGACAGGTAGGCAGGAGGGGAAGTCATCGAGCTTGAACAGCTGTCGCCACAAGATGACACACACCTGAAGCAGTCTGCCATCCACACCATAGACGCCGCCCTCCACACCGTGAGAGAGAAGCGCCACAATGCAGGAGTCGGTGACACGGTGGGCAGGTAACTGGGCAAAGTTCTGAAGTTTCTCTTGCATTTCCTGGAGGAAAAGCACATTTTAGTGTTGTTCACTGCAGTCAGCACCAACAGAATCTTTCTTTGGTTTCTGAAACCCTAACCCTAAGCTGTTTATTACTGTGGTCAATGAAAAGAGAAGTCAGACACCCTAGGAAAGGCTAAAAAAGGCTGTGGACTCATCAGAAAGATGCATGACTTCAGATACAGAATTCTGAATATTATCTCACAAAATCCAGACTCACTGAGATATGTCAAGAATTCTTGGACTAAACCAAGACACTAATAAAGCTAATTAAGTGCTAGTTAACTTTCTCCACTCCCCAATCATCAATCTGTTCCCTTTCTTAGAGCAAAGAATCTCTCTATAAATATAAATGGCACAAGGGGGATGACCAGGTGAGCTATGAATGAGTAAAACACCTATCCAGCCATAAGGAAATAAATCATTCTGACAAAGGGCTAATGGAACCATGACAGTAGAGAATGACAGTACTTCCATGCTGTTTTTGGCCCGAGATTTTATGTTCCCCGGGACGTGACAATATCTGGGTAAAATGCTTCATGCACGGAAGAGCACACCGGAGAATTCTGTACAGGACCATGGCTACATACATGGGCTACAGGATCAGAAAGACTTGGGTTTGAGCCCTGGGTTCACAAATTCAAACGAGTTCAGTTTTTTGGCCCCTCAAATCTCTAATATTCATTTTGTAAGAAGATAATTAAGAGTAAATGTTCTCCAATTTCATAAAGATTAAATGAAATACTATGTAGAAAGGATTTATAACAATGTCTGGCACATATTGATCATTCTGCCGTTATCACAATGTGCATATCTAACATGGAGTAGCAATGTTATCTTTTCAGAAAACCTACTACTGGTCCATCTTTAGTCCAACTTAAGACTCTTGTTTACGGTGTACCACGTTGCCATACACGAATATCACTCTGCCTTAAGCAACTTTTCCAATGGAAAGTTACACCAATTAGTAAATACTCCAATACAAACTGTTAAACCTATGCCTCCTCTACAACTCAAGAAGTCTGAGTGGTCTCTCCTATTTGAGACCAGAAGAGAGAAAACAAGTTCATTTTACTATGAATTTTAGTGAACTATAATGAGTATAATGATAGCAAACTAGGGAGGACAGTTACAGCATAACCTTACTTAACAGTTATCAGGTACAGCTCCCAATAAAAAGCACACTTGTATAATACATGCAGTAGTTCTGGAAACTTGCAAGAGATGCAAAATTTTGGGTCGCAGCCAACTGTTTTAATAAGCCCTCCAGGTGACTTTGACACGCTGAAGTCTGAGAACTACTGGTCTGTTTGGAATACTTTTGTTTGCAGGTAACAGAGACAATTGTATAGAAGACTTGGAAGTCTGTAACTAAACTGGAAATGAAGAAGAAATTGGCTTGATTGAAAAGTATGTACATTTTCTGGGTCAAGAGAAGCCAATCATAATATTGGAAATCGTAAGATAATAAAAAGATGTCCAAACTCATTTATTTCAGGAATATATAATCCCAAGAGACTACAGAAGTATGAATGTTCTTCTGGCGTTGACCATAATAGAATTCTCATTTGTAAAGATTTCATTTATTTATTTGGAATTTTAACACAGAGTAGTTGATGCTAATTTTGCTGGAAGAAGGCAATAAGAACGTATGTTTGGCACCTACTCATGAGCATTTTGAACTTCAGTGAGACTCTTAGATCAGTAAATAGAGGACAACAAAGCCCAAGTAAGAACACACATACTCAGTAATCAAATTTAACAGTACTAAACTCGAAACTGGGGGTTATTCATTTGGGGGGAAATTTTCCAAAAGTAGCACAGCTTAAAACAGAATCTCTAGATTTATTTCTGATAAAATTATAGTACTTCTAAAAATAGCAAGGTTCTTCACTCTTGCCTGTGTTTTTGACTGGAGGTTGGGGGACACAAGGGAATAAACTATAAACCCTCTGAGATGATATGCAAAATTTTATGGCTAGCTGCATTCTCCAGGGATGGCCCCTAGTGCACCCTTACAGTTTCAAGGCAGTCTGTAACCCATATGCAAGGTAAAAATCAATACCACATGGTAAAAGGAAATTTGCTACTTTAAAATGTATCTAATTTCCTAGCACAGGATAAACTGTAATTCTAGAACTAGTAACCTCAGGAGGGAGGCATGGTGACAGAAGACTTTGATGACAAAGAGAAAAACTGAAAACCCACACAAGCGGTGAGAATACCAGTGCACTGTCCAGCACTGTCAAGTGAAGAGGGTTAGCTAAGACTATACTCTGAATTTTTAAATGCAATTATTTTTGAAGTCAAAAGGTATAATGGGGGGTGGAGGATCTTATTTTTTTTGGTTCTCTTTGGCTCATCAAATAATCAGATGATAAAAGAGTTGAGTCTCTCTCTCTCTCCTTTTTTTTTTTTTACGAGTTGAGTCTCTTGAGAAGTCCTATTACGAAGAAAGTACTCTGTGCAGATGCCCAAAGAACCAAATTATCATACCCATTGTAAGTACTTGGTTTTAACTGTATCTCAGAGTTTGACTGGCCACTGTTGGAAACCGACTTTGCAATGTCCTCCTCACATTTCTGAATCTCCAAAGCTGAGGATGAGGCTGCACAGGGAGGGTTCTATCCCAAAATTCAGTCCTATGCTTTCTGCTCTTGTTACTCTACTCTCCTCAAAGATCTCATACTCTCATCACTTAAAGTATTTCTCCTACACACGTAATGCCCAAATTACATTTTTGGTCCTGACATCTCTTGAGAACCCTCAATTCTTTACTTAATTTTTCTGTCTTCTTCCATATGCAATTATTTAACTACCAAGCTCTTATAGTACAATCATGCCATTGTGCTATTTTCCATACATATTATTTCCCTATTGTTCCACTGTTTTGTCCAGGCTCCCAACATCTTGTATTGGCATTATATCAACTCCACACTGGATTCCCTGCCACTGGTCTCTACTTCTTTCTTTTCAATGGTGCCTTGAATCATCACTGTGAATGTATCACCTTTCTGTTAAAAGAATTACTAATGTTTTTCTCTTACTTTCTTTTTTAAAAAATATTTTATTTATTTACTTGACAGAGAAAGACAGCGAGAGAGAGAACACAAGTAGAGGGAGAGGAAGAGTGAGAAGCAAGGCTCCCCGAAGAGCAGGGAGCCTGATGCAGGGCTTGATCCCAGGACCCTGGGATCATGACCTGAGCCAAAGGCAGACACGTAACGACTGAGCCACCCAGGTGCCCCTACTAATGTTTTTCTAAAACATGGAAGTTCAAGGTCATGGCGCTCTGATCCCAATCTTATTCTTGGCACTCCTTTGTCCTAGACATTTGGTTTACCCATTAGGTCCCTAACATCACACACACATTTCCTATCTGTAGGCCATTCTCCCTGCCTAGGACTCGTTCATCACTCCTCTGTGCTTGAGTAGCTTCTTTCAAGTCCTGCTCAAGTCCCACACCCTCCATTTATCCTTCTGACCAGATCTACCCAGGCGGATTGTTTCATTCTCTTAACTACTGTAGAATACACTGTCTACTCTTGCTTGGTCCTTCAGAATGTAAGGGTAAGTACTTCTACTTTTGCTGATGTCAAGACTCCCTCATCTAACTGAGGTCCTATGAATTTAAGATTCACATTTAAAAAAATTTTTAGTATAGCAAACATAGTCCCCCCACCATTGTAAAGTGCTCAAAATTAATTAATTTTTAAAGTAACCTCTATGTCCAACATGGGGCTTGAACTTACAACCCAAGATCAAGAGTCACATGCTCTTACACAATCATTCTCATGGAAGATAGCTAAGATACAGAAATAAAAACCACAGACAATGCTGAAGACAAAACAGATTCTCTACCTCAACAAATCGAAGTGAATGTCCTAGAAACTTTGATTTTACCACTGACATTCCCAAAGGCAAGTTTAGGAAAGTGCTATTATTCTGGAATCAAAATAAAGAATTAGGGGTGGGGGTGGATGGGTGAGACAGGTGATGGGGATTTGGGAGTAATGTACGGAAGCGTTGAATTACTGTACTATGTACATGAAACTGTTTTAACACTGTACGTTAACTAACTGGAATTAAAATTAAAACTTTAAAAAAGAGGAAAGGGATGGAAATGGAAAAAAGATGAATAATTAGTATCTATTTACTAATAGGCTACTATCAATTTCAGAACAGAAATACCTAAAGGTAACTAAATCAGCAGTATAGCTCAGTAACTGAGGGTTAACAGGGAATAATGAAAATGCTTGTGATTTGCAGGAATCCAGTTTAGAAGTAATCTCCCCTAAGATCTGTCTTGTGGTCACACAACTGGTAAGAATAAGGAATTTCCCCATATTCACTCATTAAACCGACATGGACAGTTCTAGCAAACTTTCATTTGCAAGAATGTCATCTGCCGAAGTAATAATAACTGATCAACAACTGGACTTGTAAGGGACAAAGTCAAACCAAGGAGTAAATGTCCTGTGTTGTCCCGGTTTATAAATATCTTTCCTGACTGGTTGGGTGAATCTCAGGGTCTCCTCACATCCGGAGTGGCTAGGAATTGAGTCTCTGAATATATGAGAGTAACAGCCCAATCTGGGACCAGTATTACCCAGGGAGAGCACAGTGACTCTGAGAAGTTAACACTGAAGCAGCTCGCCGGCCCTAATTCTTTTTTTTTTTTTTTTTTTTTTTTTAACTGGGTTGTAAGGTAGGACAGAACAGAACGAGTAAAAAGGTAGGGAGAAGAAAGTAACCTGAGTGAGACCTATCCAGCAGGCAGAGGAGTAGAGGATGTGTCTGGCCCCAGTGTTGCTCAGCTCTCTACCGTACACATTAGATGTACCTGCGCAGTCTGGTCAAGTAGAACATGAACTTTGTAGCCTAAGAGCCTGAAGAGGGTGACCAGAGTGCTGTGGTCCACATCTCCTCCAGAGCGAAATTCCAGGTCTTTCTCTCCAGTGAAGTGCACATTGCTCAGCACCAGTGCCAGTCCACGAGGCCGAGACTGTAACCTATAGGCCTGGGGGAAAGGGGAGCCATTTAGAGCTTCTTATGGATAGAAACCATTTCCCCAACTAAATGAGACATTTCAAGTAAACAAAGCCATCATATTCTTGTTAACCCCACCAAGTCAATATAGAGAAATACCCAGAGAAGATAACCAATCAGTGTGGACTTTCTGACTAACAAAGCAGGAAGGGGTATATATGTAAACTAAGTTCAGGTGCCCAGGAAGGGTGTCTCATTTCCCAACTTTTCTTCTTGCATTCTGTAGGACTCACCAGCTGGTAGTGTGTTTGATAAAACTCGGGAGTGCAAGGCTTCACCTGAAGGCAGGGAGGACCATCTCCGTTGTCTAGGGAGTGCTCCACAGTATCTGTGGCACAGAGAGTCGAAAAACTAGTGTACCATCTATGTGTCAATCCCAGTACTTCATTATAACCTAAGGCACCCTGCTGAACTGGGGTTTTAAAAATTACTGGTCTTGCTCATTCCCCTATGTTAGAAGCTCCATGAGGCCAGAGACCCTGTCTGCTTTTGCTCACCACTGGATCCTCTGCATTGAGCCCACTCACAGTAGGTGCTTAACCCCCTGAGTGAATGGGATATCTGATAAAAGCCTTGTTCTAATCACTAGGATACTCAGCCAGCAGGCTAATGGCCCATAATGTAACAGCTCATCCTAAAGTAACAGCTTTAAGGAGCCAGGCCAGTCATGTGTCGGAATTTTCTACTTGTACCAGTTGCTCTAAGGACCAAATGCCATAAGAAAAAAATCATCTGTGACAGAGGGGAAGCAAGGCCCAGCCAATCCCCCAACTAAATTGTGCTGCTAGTCCCTAACAAATTCACAAAAGAGACTGTTCCCAGTATGAAAGAAAACAGGTATCATGCTAGGGCTAAGTCAGATATCAGTCAAGAAAAAAGTCAATCTGTGGGATATGTTATCTCATTGATTCTCACCTGGAGATAGGCGGAGCTGCTTCTGAGGGGGACAGGACTCACACATCGGGAAGGGGAGACTCAAGTCGTAGTCACAGCTCAACTGTAAGAAATGAGGACCCACCATGCCAGGACTTAGGGAGATGGTCCAGTTTGAACAAAACCATAATCTAGTCAACCCCACCCTGCCTCAAAAATTCCTTCCCACCAAACTAACCCTTCTCAACACACCACCACATGTCTAGGGCTCCATACCGGCGGGAGTGCATGCTGAAGACCAGAGAGGGTTGTGAGCAAGAGATCCTCCAGGTGACCCTGCTTGGTCTCCCTCAGGGCCACACAGAAGGCATCAAAAGCGTGAGGACCCCTCTTGGGCAGCAAGTTGAGAAGTTCCACATTTTGGCTGAAACTGCCCACTTTGGCCTAAGATAAAAGAATACAACATAAAATCATATTTACTTATTCAGCTGTAATTCTATTTCTCCAGATGACCTTCCTAGTAATCTCAAGAACCCTTTTACAGAAGAAATATATGTATGGGGGCAGTCTTTCCTATTATTTTAAAATTATGTATCTTTTCTGAAAAGGCGTTAGGGTAGAAGGGCATTTTCATTTCCTTAGTAAGGTTCTATATCCTTGCCACACTTCATAGTGTTCTGTTCCCCCTACTACAACCAGTTTACTGATTTGGCATTTCTCTTTTGCTTCCTAATACCTGAATGTGCTCCCTCATTTCCAAGGTGATGATGTCCCTCTCCAGGAGGTGTTCTAACAGTTCACTCAGCAACAGCTGTTTGGCTAGCACCACTCGGTTCTTTTTCAGTGCTTCCTGATGGTCAGGATGCATGCCACACACTCCCAATATCCTGTGGATAAAAGGCAGAGGAAAAGGCCATCAAGTACAAGATCTGACACAGAAGAGTGGAATGGAAAAGGAGTGGGTAGGAAGAACAAAAAGAATGGGACTTATGATAACCAATATTAGGCATACTTTATTGAATCTGGTTAAAATCAAAGTAGTATTAAGCAGTAACACACTAATCATGAAGAAATAATTTATAATTTTTTATGGAGTATGTTCCACTGAGACCATCTTCTGAGGTGAACAGTCTGTCTAGGGGAGGGAAATATCTACCTTGACAAAAATACACACAAAAGAAGGACTACTCTGTCTGACAGACCAATTTTAACTAAGAGATTATCCCAGGCTGTTGGAAGGTTCTGCCACAAGGGAAAAAGTGGTTCCGAGAAAGGGGCGAAAAGAGGGTAAGGGGGAGCAGCCTCTGGGAGTGACAGTTCTGACAAGAAGGCTCAGGGTCCCAAAGGTGGTGGCAACGTAGCAAAGGTCAGACACATTCTGTGTGAAGAACATGAGAAAATCATGGAGGCCATGGAAAAGTTAAAGTCTGGAATGACTTTCAATGAAGTGGCCACACATTATAGTGAAGATAAAGCCAGGCAAGGGTGCGACCTGGGATGGATGACCAGAGGTTCCACAGTGGGACCATTTCAAGAAGCAGCATTTGCCCTGCCTGTAAGAGTCTGTAAACACAGATTAAGCCTGTGTTTACAGACCCTCCGGTTAAGACAAAATTTGGGTATCATATTATAATAGTGAAGGGAGAAAATAAAATTTTATGAAAGATTGAAAAAAAAAAAAAAAGAGATTATCCCAGAAAACCTGTCACATTATTTATCTAGGCTGCTAAAAATAATATGAGTTAAGATGATCCTGGGTGAGGAATAAAATAATTTGATAAAATGGCAAAAGCTCAAACCAATGGCTGGCTTTAATGGGAAATAAATGAGATAGGCTGACACACATTACTCTCTAGCCCACTTCTACCAATTATACCTGTGGTCTTGAAACTTAAGTTCCTGTGACAAAATGACACTAGAAATGATCAGAATCCTGTAATTAAGAACTGAGTAAGGAGCAAGTATGACAGAAAGTCACAGGAGATAAACACCCATGACAAACACAATGAACATAACTTGAGATCATCTGAAAGAGTTAAAGCATAAAGGATAAATTGTTTTGGTAATTTATTAGGGATGTCTTTATTTCAAGGATTCTTTGGTTAAGGATAATCAGCTTCTGTTTATGAATTTTAAAAATTACATTTCCAACACATTATCATCTCTGTGCCTAGTTTATATAAATGCACAGCTCCCCAGCTTGCCTAGTTAGTTTCCAAAAACATGACAACAGGAAGGGCCTGATGGCAGTGAGAAAGGGATAACATCTACAGTTCGTAAGTTAAAAACTATTTAAAAATGCATATGGATTTCAAAGATGTTAAAATATGTATGTGTGGGGGGAAATGGGCATCTTAGAAATTACTTAGATACCGTGCATTTATAGGATGTACTTGGCTTGACTCCAGGTTAGAGATTTATTGAGGAGGGAAAAGGCGGAGTCCTGAAACTGCTAAGAGAGATCCAACAAGGTGGCATGTGGGATCCTGAGTCAGAGAAGTTATAAAACATTCCCAAGGCTGGAAGCAGCTACCTAGGGTTAAATCTGGGATTTGGGACAATGATGTCTGAAACTCCATTTTAACTTCAGGTTTCTATTCTATAGAAATACTCCTGTGACCCCAAACCTTCAATAGAAAGCTGCTACGATACATCTAGAGAAAAAAAAAAAAAAATTAAGAATCACCTTAGAAAACACCAAAGCAGTGACAGTGACAGGATATAGGAAACTCTGGTAAAAATGTTATTAGGCCAACAACTGGATGCTGGTTATTTCCTCAGGATACGGATCATTGGTGAGGCAGGTCTACTCAAGTTTCTTCTCTTAATCTACCAGTAGCGTTTTCTCCTTAAAACTTTCTCTGCCCTTGCTTTCCTGAATACTATTCTCTCCAGTTCCTCTCTCAGCCTATGTTCCTGATCCTTCACAAGATCTTTAACTGTCCCTTAAATGCTGACATGCCATTAGGAACCCCCCTCAAGGAGCCTCTCCCTATTCACTCTCATCCATACACAGGATTCACTGACTGACTCCCAGTTCTTGACTCTTTCAAGTTCTGGACTTAAAGTTTCAGTCAGAAACTCATTAAGTTTAATCTGAAGCCATTATCCATTCTCCACACACCTGCTCCTCCCTGCACTCCACTTTAGGGTGAAAGTCTTTTAAATATGGACTTTTCCCAAAGTAACCATGATCACCCAGAACTTCAGGGCACAACTGGGAGGGGAGGAAGGAGAGGAGAGAAAAGGACACAAAGGGAATTCTTAAGTCTTGATTCTGTCTTTCTGCAGGTTCTGGCTCCAAAGTCCTGAACTGATCCTCTGGGTCTGGACCGCGAGTCATTAAAATGTTATCCGGGGTGATGCCTGCCATGAAATCAAACAACTGGGGCAGAGGCGGAGACACACTCGAATCTCGGAACCACCTTGTCCTTCCAAAGTACTCAAACCCCAAAGCCTGTGTCGACTGCTTTGAAAACCTGATCGTTACACCCAAAGCAATAGGTGTCATGATATACTCAATCCAAGTCAAATGCACATCGGGCAGTATCCCGAGGTTTGCAGGTCTCGTCCGTTTTTAAGGGGACAGAGTAAAGTTTGTCATAAAAGAATAAGGGGAAAGAAAGGATGGAGAATCTTTAAGAGAAGCCGAGATTTGGCAGAACTGGAGAGCTCCTCCTGTTCAGAGCCCCCGCGGGTTGGACAAAGCAGGCTGGGGCGGTCGGCTCACGAGGGACAAGGCCGACGGGAGGCCGCCGCTCGCGCGCCCCTCGGGGGCTCAACCCGGCCTCCCACCCTTGGCAGCAAGGGCGGACACGGCCGCTTCCAGGGATGCCAAGGGCTGGGGACGCCGAGGCCATGACCCGCACTCCCCTCCCTCGGCCCCATGAAGGAACTCTGCGACCCTCCCTCACTCACCGGCGCCCTCTGTCAGCGGCCATAAGCGCCTTTCGCTGTAGGGCAGGCCGAGAGCCCGTGCTCGGCGCCGCCATTTACCGCTTTTCCCGGGCTGTGCGCGAACCGCCCACAATCCAAACGCACCGAAAGCCCGGGCGCCCTCTGCATCCCTCCCTGGTCCCGCAGCGCACACAGCGCCTGCGCCTTGCTTCTCCTAGCTCCACCCCTACGCGAGGCCTGCCCCGCCCCTCCCGTCGCCGGTGCGCGCGCAGGTACGGAGCGCTCCGGCTGGACGTACCGTCCAATGGGATGAGAGAGCGCACTTGGCGGAAAGGGAAGGGGCGGGGGTAACGCGGAGACGCTCCGTCCTACGCGGGAATGCGATTGGTCGTTGGTTCCCGCGGAAATCACGGCTGGCTCTCCGGCGCCTCCCACCTTGCCTCACCCGCCTAGTGGAAGCACTTTACCGAGATGGGTTTGGCCAGACTTTTGATTTTATTGAAGTTGAACTATTAGGGCCAGGATAAGGATGGATGAGGATGGAGAGCACTAGAAGGCGTTGTTAGATGTCGCACAGTGGGTGACTGACGAAGAGGGGAGCGCACCCCTGAGGAGGCAGCTCTCAGTGGCTAAAACCTACATCACAGCCACAGCGCGATTCCAGAGAATCTGGTGTTCTGTTGGGATCCGAGGAAGCCGGACGGGGGGGGGGGGGGGGGGGGCTAAAACCCTGTGGTCAGAATGCAGGGGTGAGGCTTAACGGTTAGACACCGTGCGGGTGGCTCCAGCGCTTCACTGGTGATTCAAGAGGGAACCTTCGATCCTCCGCCACCCCTCGCCAGGCTCCTGTTTTCTCCTTTCTCAGCCTCATCCACCCATCTCAAAATCGGAAGCCCCTGCTCCTGGGGCAATTTACTCCACTGCTTCCCGTTAGCAAGCACTAGAGAGTGTTCTTCAGCCCCTGGGCAGAAACTGCTCCCTAACTGGAGCAGGGGCGGTCTCAGCTTTGATTAGTTTTGCTTACCCAGGAGGCTGGGCACACTTGGTCACACTCAGCCCGCACTGCCTGTAGACACAACTATTCCACCATTCTGTCTATAGGAAGTCTCCCACCCCTCTCCAGCAATTGTCCAAGGTAAAGACAGAGATTTGTGGGTGACCTTGTATTTGAAAATACAATAGGGTTTGGGATCAGAAGAGTAGAGTTTAAATAATTTTTATGCTGTTTACTGGCAGTGTGCCCTGTGCAAGTTCTTAAACTTCACTGTCCCTTGGAACCCTCATTTTTCAAATAAGGGTATTAACATCTCATATGGCTGGAAAGCCTAACTGAGCTGGTAGAGAGAAGCACCCAGAACAGAAACAACAAAGTTGTCACTCAAATGTTTCTTTTCTTCCTTATCCAGATTCTCTGGATACACCTCCTCTCACCCTCCATTTAACTCTGGAAATACAGGATATGGGGTAGGTCACTGAACGTTACCTGAATACTCAAATGGTGCCACACACATCCCCGCTGGAAAAGGCTTATGATAGCCTGACTCCCCTCTGTGTTCATTTCCCCACGCAGAAACACAGTTCCTGACACATAGCAGGAACTGGAAAAATGTTGGTTCAAATGCATGAATGGGTCTGGTGCAGAGATGATAATATATCATGGGAAAGTCTTTTAGGGGGGTGTCCAGTTGTTTTCAAAGAAAACATCATCATCCGGTTGATCAAAGCTGACATCATAGGCGGGGGGTGGAGTAAGAGGCTCCAACGTGGGGTGCACCCCCAAGCTCTGCAGATCAGGAGCAGTGGACATGACCCGGGGTCCCCGAAGCCGGAGGCTGACTGGAACTCTTCCAGTCACAGACCCCTCTGAGCCCACTCGCCTTCCTAGTCTGGCTCTATCGGGGCCGTCTGGATGGCTAGGCTGTCCTTCCTCAAGTCCTGGAGGGATTACAACACTGCTGTAGGGGGGTGGTTGATCCAGCTGCTCGGGGTGGCATTGTGATTCCAGCACCATAGCTTCTTCATAGGTTGGCACCTCAAAGGCTTCATTGTCGCTGAGGGAGAAGAAACAACGTCACTGGTGACCTCCTGAAAGGAGTCCTTTTCCCCTTTACTATCTTCTATTGGCAAAAGACCCTCCTACCCCTGACCCCACCCACCCCCTCATAGATAAAAGTAACAGGAAAGCAGAGCGGTATGTCAGAGATTAGAGGGATACAGGGGAAAAGAGTCCATCATGTATTCCTAGAATTCCGCCCACCCCTTAACTCACCGTGCATTGCCCGAGGCCTCTGGGTTCTCCGTCTGCATTGATCGGAATCCCCATTCCAGAGAACAGGCCAGGAGGCAGACAAACAAAAAGAAGCCACCCAAGGCGAGAAAGAAGTAAGCAACGGGGGCGATGTCTGGCTGTATGCCCAGCAAAGCCAGCCCCAGGAGGAAGGAGGTACAGCACAGGAAGAGAAGCGGCTTCTCCAGTCTCCCCCACAACTGGCTTGGGACCATCGCCCCTCCCCAGGCTCCTGCAAAAAGACAGTATGTCTAAACCAGCAGTTGGCAGTTGATGGGAGTCCGCCGCATCAGATTCCAAAGTAACCATATTAGACACCTTTAGGTTTTAGGTTCTTCAATCTCAAATCAACTGGCCCAAATATATGATCTTCAAGGTTCCCTTCAGTTTTATAATTCTCTCTAGGATCACACTGCTGTCCCAGGATATCAGCATGTGTGGAGTAGCCAGGAAATAACCCCAGCAGCTTTCATGGCCCTCCCTTTCTAACTTCTTCCTTCTCTGCAATGTCCCTTCCGGCTCTATCTTTCTACACCACACAAGACTCAGTGCCCTGCCTGGGGCCTCAGTGCTCAACAGCATCTGTGGAATCCAGGTGATGAGGCAGGCCCTGCCTTTTTTTCTGTTAATTGCTCTGCATTGGACCTCCACCCTACCCACCCCCATCTTCCCAGTTAGACCCTGTTGGAGAGGGAATTTGGGGAGAAATACCACTTACCCTGTCTGACCCCATCTTCCCATTTCTTCCACTCAGCCCATGCTCTGGTTGAGGGGGAGAAAGTACACACGGATACAACAAAGGGACACAACTATGAGAATCTTACAAAGGCCTAGGGCAATGGACAGAGGCCCAGATAACCCCTGATCTCTCCATATCTGCCAGGGTATCCCACCCTCTATGGGCCTTAACTCAGGAAGCTCAGATTTCAAGTTTCCTGCCTGTAGTTACCGCAAGGGGTAGGAAGCTGGTGGGGAGAAGCCTTCTTTTCCCTCTGCAACACAGCAGCAACGCCTAGGCAGTTGTACCCCAAAACCAACCCATTAGGAATTCCCTGAACTCTGCATAGCAAGAAGCCACAGACTCTAGGTAGGGGCCAGATCCCCTGCTTTAACCCTAACCCCAATCCCATGGCCTTCCTACCCTTCTCACCGGTGTTAGGAATTCCTCCCTCACCTGTCCAGACCGACTCCGCAGAAAGTAGGTTGTAGGGGAGCGGGGGAGCGGGGGTGGAGCCCAGTGGCTCCACCCACTTTTCTGTTCCAATCCCTCAGTTCCTGCGCAGGCTTCCTCCTCCCCTTTCTGTTTACAACTGACTTGTTACTGCCGAACCTTGATTTTTTTTTTTTTTTTTTTTTTTTTTTACACCGTCCACCCTCTTTTTAATGAGAGTGCTCCTGCGTCCCCGCCCTCACCCCAATGATCTTTGTACTCAGGACCAGAGTTCTATTCAGTTTCCTCTTCTCAATGCACACTGCCTTGTGAGTAGTTTGTGTTGTATTTAGTTAATATATTTTATGCCTAGAGCAGAGGCCACGGTTTATTTAATCTCTAGATCACATAGTGCTTTGCATGATTTGCTGTGGGCATGGAATGGCCTGTCGTGCTTCAGCTGCCAAAGTACCATTTCTTTGAACTTGTTTTCTGCAGACCTGTAAGACGTTTTTGTGTTTGCTTCTTGGCCCAGTTAACTCTTGATTCTTCAAAAGCCAGGTCCATAGTGATGCCTACTGTGGAGGCTGTCTCCACAGTGTATCCACAGCATTCCTTCCTACCCCCGTTCAAACCTTTAGCTGTTTATATAGTAACTTTTCTGTTTTCCACTGTGAGCTTTTCAAAGTGTGTAAATGTTTCAATAAATTCTGAATCCCTGCAACTGACTTGGTAGGTGCTCACTGAACAGTAGAATGCTCTCATTCGAAGGCTGCCATCTTGCCTGGCCTCACCACCCCCTGGAGATCCAGAACCCACTCTTCAAAAAAAAAAAAAAAAAAAGTTTTATTTATTTATTTGAGAGAAAGAGAGAGCATGAGCAGGGGGCAGGGGTAGAGGGAGAAGCAGGCTTCCCATTGAGCAGGGAGCCCCACATGGGGCTTGATCCCAGAATCCTGGAATCCCAGAACTCTGGGACCAAAGGCAGACACTCAACCGAGCCTCTCAGGCACCCTTATGACCACTCTTAAGGGGAATTATGGTAATAAGTCTAGGTGATGCAGGTACTGGGAGGTGTAGAGGATGGGCATACTTTATTCTTGAGAGTCAGAGAAGGACACAAGGCTGGGTTCCAGGGCTTCATAGTATTATCATTGGACAAACCAAGGGGAGTAGGAGATAATGGGGCACAAATCTAATCCCAAGGACAGTTGTGGGGCATAGCCAGGGCTGATGCATCAGAGGATGTGTGGAGTGTGTGAGTGTGTGTGTGAGAGAGAAACAGAGACATACAGAGTGGGAGAGGAAGGGAGGGAGGGAAAGAAGGATGAGGGTGCCTGGAATGGAATGCAGGTGTGTGTACTGGTGGAATGTCAATAATGATTCTTTGACCAGATAAAGGATAGGGAAGAGATGTAAGAGGAAGGCTGTGGTAGTCCAAATGAGCTGTATCCCTATAGGAAGTGGGAACGGAGAGTAGGGGGAGAGCTGGTTGTTGTTTTGTTTACATGAATTTCCTTACTGTTCATCTCATATAAGGAAAGTACGCCTGGGATCAGAAGGATTTGCATCTGGGGAGCCTGGCTGGTTTAGTTGGTAGAGCAAGCAACTCTTGATCTCAGGGCCATGAGTTTGAGCCCCATGGTGGATGCAGAGATTATTTTAAAATAAAATCTTAAAAAAAAGAGAAGGATTTACATCTACAGTTAATATAGTAATAGAAGGAAATTGGTCAAGAGTCACTGGTATGTATGACAAGTAAGAGGGCTTTGTTAAGAAGTGCGTTCTGGATAGCGAGATGGGGGGGGCATGTAGACTGAGAAGCAAGGGAGTCAAGGGGGGCGCTGAATGTCTACGGTGTGAAAGGATTTGCAGTTGGGAGAATGAGATCTTTGTAGCATAAGGTTCTTGGTTGTCGGGAGCCTACACTAGAGAGACTTGCTAGTTAAGAACCAGTTCCAAGTCAGGAAGGCTGGACTGTGCCTTCAATATATTCTCTATCATGATAATTTTAAATAGATTTTCTAAAAATTCCATTTTTTATACTGTTACTTTTTATTTGAGAGAAAGAGAGAAGGGGCAGAGGGAGAGAGAATCCTTAAGCAGACTCCGTGCTGAACATGGAGCCCAGATGTGGGGGTGTAGGGTGGGGGCTTAATCCCAAGACCCTGAGATCATGACCTGAGCTGAAATCAAGAGTTGACTGCTTAACCCACCCAGGCAACCCTAAAAATTCCACTTGTTAAATATAAAATCTTGCAAAATATTTAAAGGTTATAGAGAAAAAATATCATCCACAATCTCCTTATTCTATCATGGCTGTTTAAAATTTCTACACATTTCTTCTAGTCTGTCCACACACTGGTTGAAATGATCTTTGGCTGAAATCAGAGTACTCACCATTTTGTATTTTTTTAAATTAAATATTGTATCACATATAGTTCACCTTTTGATATAGTCTTTGTTGTGGTCATTTTTAACAGCCACATAGTATTTTATTGAATGGATGTACCATAATTTAACATACCTTTATGTTATGTTACTTAGTTGCATTGAGTTTTTTTTATTCTTTTTTTTTGGTCATCAAATGTTTCAAGAGACAGAAAGTAGATTAGTGCTTGCTAGGCACTGGAGAGGGGGAAGAATGGGGATTAACTGCTAATGGATTTCTTTTGGGGGTAAGGAAAATGTTTAAAAATTAGTAGTGATGCAGGGCACCTGAGTAGTTCAATCAGTGAAGCATCTGATTTTTGATTTCAGCTCAGGTCATGATCTTGGGGTCATGGGATGGAGCCTCTCGTTGGGCTCTCTGTGTAGCCTGCTTGGGATTCACCTTCTTCCTCTCTCTGCCCTCCTTCCTAAAATAAATACATCTTAAAAAATTAGTAGTGTTGCTTGCACAACTCTGAATATGCTTTAAAGACCCACTGAATTTTTTTACACTTTGTAAGGATGAATTAGGCCTCCATAAAGCCATTTAAAGAATGATACTACAATGAACCTCTTCTTACATGTTTTGCCTTATTTTTAGATTATTTCCTACTGTTGAATTCCAGGAAATGTTATCATTGAGATTTTGTGAAAGCAATGAGAAAGAAAGCTTTTGTTGAATATGTATGGCCAAACTTTTTCCCAAACATTTTACTTTCCTTTTTTCTTCAACTTAGTATCCTTAGCAAAATATAAATGCTAAAGATACTATTGGTCATTCATCCTGTTTTCTACTTGCCTGTCTCTACAAACCACCGTGTTAGAGGTCAGATTACTGCCCTAGGTGGACCCACTATGCCCACCTCATTTTGGAAGGGAATAGTGAAGGGAAATGGGAGGTGGGGGAGGGGGAGAAGCAGAGATAATTGACAGACTTCTGTGAGAGGTAGTTAATGTCTACCACCGAGCACTTCTGTACACCTCTGTATTCTTGTGATTTTGTGTTTCTGAATCTGAGTCTGCTTTATACTTGTAGCCAACACGTGTGTTTTGTGTATTGCTCACTGTGCTAAATGCTTTACACAAATTAAGTAATTTAAAATATAACATAATAAGAGGTAGTTGCTATTATTATGTTCGTTTTATAGATGCGATCAGAAACTTGAGGAAAATGTATAGCTAATAAAGGTTGGGGCCATGATTTGAATCTGTAGTCCCACTCCAGAAACCTGACTCTTAAACATTATGTCATCCAACTCTAAACACACTTTTTGGCTGATTTAGTAATGATAATTTAACAAAACACCTTTGACATTCTAAAATTATAACTCTGGGGTCTTCCCTGGACATTATTTTCCCCACTGTTTGGCGTCTTAAGGCTGATCTTTAGAGAGCAAAGGCAGCAAAAGAGAGTATGAGAAGATTAAAGAAAGTTATCAATATATAAGGCAAGAATGGGAAATTATGGTTGCAGCCCCTGTATCGGGATGTTTATCTTTTATGAGCTAATTAAGACGGATTACAAAAGGTAAGACTTTTACCTGAATAGCTCTAGAAGCCCAATGTGCAGGTTAACTTTTTAAAAAACAGTATAGGTGAGAAGACAGCGTATGTGTGTGTGTACAAACAAATTGGCCCAATCTCATTTGATCCTTGACAATCGTGTGCCTGAGTCTGATTATCATTTTCATGTTACAGAGGAGGAAATCAGCAGAGAAAGTAGATTTGTTTCGTTAGAATCAAACTCAGAGTCTTTCCCTTTTAACTCAGGTTTGAGTGTTTCTCTTTGTGTTTGTTGCCTCACTCACAGTGTTTTCAAATGTGTAGGAAAGGTGGATAATGATTTAATATGAAGTGTATCAGCATCACTGGTTATTTCTGGGATGGAAATGCTTCCCATAAATGATGAATTCTAAGTACGTAAGGATAAATACGCATTCTTACTCTCATCAACTCGGTGTAAAACTGCACAAAGCTCACTGGGAACACACGGAACGAATATGAGTTTCAGGCTGTCCCTCCATCTCAGCTATTCGGCACTAAGCCACAAAAAGTAATTCTCAAATTTGAGAAGTTGAGTGTGGTTGTTGCCCAGAGACAAAAAAAAGCATTGTGTTTATGAGATGTCTGCAGATAGCGGCAAAGGAGTCCCACATGAGTATGTCCCTAAATAAGAGAAAACAGAGAGGTATTTGTGGTTGTGGTTAAGCACATATTTTTAGAGATGTGCAGCCCAGGTTTCAAATCTCACTCCTACTGCTTATTTGCTGTGTGACCTGTAAGCTATTTCATCTTTCTGCATGCATGAAAGTAGAGTTAAATCCTAGTTAACGTTTTCTCTTTTGAAATAAAATTTGTCTAGTGTTCAGCACAGATTTTTAGTGGACCACTCCGTAAGTTTTGATAAAGAGTTATACCTGTGTAACGCAAACTCCAATCGAGATGCGAAGCATTGCTATCATCTAGAAAGTTCCCTCATGCCCCCTCCCTGTCAACCCCATAAACTATTGTTTTGGTTTCTTTCCATCTATTATGCTCTTGAAAATAGTTTCTATTTTATGAAACAACAATTAATTTATTTAATGATAACCACTGATAACCATTTGGTTATCCAAGTGATAACCATTTAGTTTTTATCCAGGATTTTGCAATTCCTACCTTTGTATACATGTCTTTTTTTTTTTTTTAAGATTCTACTTATTTGACAGAGAGAGAGACAGTGAGAGAGGGAACACAAGCAGGGGAAGTTGGAGAGGGAGAAGCAGGCCTCCCTCTGAGCAAGGAGCCTGATGTGGGGCTCGATCCCAGGACCCTGGGATCATGACCTGAGCCAAAGGCAGACGTTTAACAACTGAGCTACCCAGGTGCCTCTATATACATATTTTTACTCATTTCTATAAATCAGAAAAATTCCTGAAAGTGAAGTTTTTGATATATATTGCCATATATATCAGTTATAAAGGAGTTATAAAAATTCACTCTCCTGCTCACATTGCAGGAATATCTGTTTGCCCATGGACTTGGATTCAATAAATTTTTACTATTCACTTGCTACACAGGACGCTCTAAGGTGTATTCAGTAGATCTGATAGGAATATCACTCTCTATCAAAGAGGTGATTGTTCTTAAGAGGAGAAACATGTACATAACTAATTGTAAGACAGGGTACATGGTGACAAGGAACAAAGTGGTGCTGTGCTTCCCAGCAGAGACTCGGCGCTGACAAGGGTGGGGATCTGAATGCAGCATGGATACGGATGGGGTTTGTTTATAGTCCTTTTACGTCCATCTCATCATTATGAATGGAGTGGATAATAAATACTTATATCATTGACTGGCAATTAGTGTATATTTGCTGAGTTAATGATTCATGATCTTTCAGTCCCTTGATCCTCCTTCCATTGCCTCCCCACCTTTCCAGGCTTTTTTCCATCTGGCATCAGCTAGAGCCAGCCATACCCTTGAACATGGACTTGGAGGAAGTTGGTCTGATGCAAGCTAAGGGTTTTAGTTTTCCCCAGTACCCTGCAAAGACATTGAAGGAACTCTCTGGAATTAAGGTCATGGGATGCGTGAGGAACAGTGGTCCAGTTGGCCTCCGAGCCACCAATCCCCTCTTTCCCTGGGGTCCAAGTGGCTACTTCTTTCTGCTTTCACTTTTGCTTAACCCTAGGAATTGTGGTCAAATGAAACACTGTGATTCCTCTGAGGAGAATGATGAATAGTGCACCCTAGGTTCGTCTTCCGGCTGGACTCCTGCTTTCTCTGTGCACCTCCCAACAGCATCCCTTCCTGCAGTCCCCATTCAGCTTCTCTACTTTGAGACTTCCCGTATCTCCCCCTTGACCTAGTTATCTCCTTCTCCTTTGCCATCCCCATCTCTTTTTCCTTTCTTTCGCTCATAGTCTGCTTTTTTTTTTTGGCTCATTTATTTGACAAGCAGTTACTCAGCATGTATTATGTGCTTACAGGAGCAGCACAGTACATACTTTGTGAGGTCTGGTGCAAAACTGGAAAATGCAGGGCCCTTAACTGAAATTAAGAATTTCAAGACAAGAGTCACCTGGGTGTCTCAGTGGGTTAAAGCCTCTGCCTTCAGCGCAGGTCATGTTCCCAGGGTCCTGGGATTGAGCCCCGCATCAGGCTCTCTGCTCAGCAGGGAGCCTGCTTCCTCCTCTCTCTCTGTCTGCTTCTCTGCCTGCTTGTGATCTCCATCTGTCAAATAAATAAATAAAATCTTAAAAAAAAAAAAAGAATTTCAAGACAAGGCAGAGCATCAAAGCAGTCATGAGGCCCTGTGTGAGTACACAAGTTGCAAGTCCATGAAGGCTTGCTGACCTTGTATGTACAATACTATGGGGACATGGTGAGAATGTGTAATATCACAGAATTGAAATCTCAGTATATTTTCTTTTTTAAAGGAAACTCTACAGCCACTGTGGGGCTCAAGTTCATGACCCTGAGATCAAAAGTTGTATGCTGTACTGACTAAGCCAGCCTGTCAGTACTTTTTCAAGACATTTTTATTATGGAAATAGCCCAACACACATAAAAGAGGAAAGAACAGTGTAATGAACTTTCCATGTACCCATCAGTCAGCTTCAGTAATTACATTTCATCTACTCTTTCCACCTCTCCCACTTTTTATTTTTTTTTAAAGATTTTATTTATTTATCTGACAGACAGAGATCACAAGTAGGCAGAGAGGCAGGCAGAGACAGAATGAGGGGGAAGCAGGCTCCCTGCTGAGCCGAGAGCCCAATGTGGGGCTCGATCCCAGGACCCCGAGATCATGACCTGAGGTGAAGGCAGAGGCCTCAACCCACTGAGCCACCCAGGCGCCCCACCTCTCCCACTTTTTAAAGGCAGCATGTCATTTCCAACCGATGAGAACTCTGTGCCCAGCCACCCTGCCATTATCATTTAATGAAATCAATATTAATTTCTTAGTATCACCAAATATCCAATCCATGTTATTTTCCCCCAGTTGTCTCAAAATGTGTTCTTACAGTTTGTACATTCTTTTAAGATATGCTATTAAGGCGCTGGCTTACTCAGTCAGTAGAGCATGCAATTCTTGATCTCAGGGTTGTTGGGTTTGGGCCCCACATTGGGTGTGGAGCCTACTGAAAAAAAATTAAAAAGGGGTCCTGGGGTGGCTCCGTTGGTTAAGCATCTGACTTGATTTTGGCTCAAGTCTTGATCTCAGGGTCGTGAGTTTGAGCCCCACGTTGGGCTCCACACTGGGTGTAAAGCCTACTTATAAACAAACTATTAAGGATAATATGGACATTTCAAAAACAATCCACTTAGAAAATGGGCAGAATCCATCAGAAAGGATGAATACCCAACCTTTGTATCAACATGGACGGGACTGGAGGAGATTATGCTGAGTGAAGTAAGTTAAGCAGAGAGAGTCAGTTATCACATGATTTCACTTACTTGTGAAGTATAAGGAATAAACACGGAGGACATTGGGAAAAGGAAAGGAAAAGTGAATTGGGGGAAATCGGAGGGGGAGATGAACCATGAGAGACTGTGGACTCTGAGAAACTAAGGGTTGTGGAGGAGAGGGGAGTAGGGGGTTGGGTGAGCCTCGTGGTGGGTATTAAGGGTACATACTGCATGGAGCACCGGGTGTGGTGCATAAACAATGAATCTTAGAACACTGAAAACATAAAACGAAATTTAAAAAAAAGAAAATAAGAGCAGAAGCGTATAAAGAGGGAATAAAAGAATAATTTTTAAAAATAAAGAGAAAAATGGGCAGAAGGTGTGAACAGATATTTCACTGAAGAGGATGTACAGATGGAGAAGTACACAAAAAGATATCCATTATTCCTTAGGAAAATGCAAATTAAAATCACAATGAGATAGCACTTACACACCTATCAGAATGGCTAAAATTAAAAAGAGTAATGACACCAAATGCTGGTGAAGATGCAGAGAAACTGGATCACTTACACATTTCTGGTGGGAAGGTTAAGATGGTTTGGCCACTTAGGAAAAATGTAGCAGTTCTTTGTACAATTAAACATGCACTTATCATATGACCCAGCAACTGTATTCCTGAACCCCCCAAAATGAAAATCTGCATGCACACAAAGACGTGTACAAGAATACTCATAGCAGGTTTATTTGTAATAGCCCTAAACTGAAAACAACCTAAATGTCCTTCAACAGGTCAAACAAACTCTGGCACATCCATACCATGGAATACTACGCAGCAATAAAAAGAACAAACCACTGAGACACACAACACCTTGCATGTGAAAATAAGCCAATCTGACGCCATTAATATAGCACTCTTGAAATGAGAAAACTATATGAAGAACAGATTAGTCATTGTCAGGGCTTAGAGTAGTGGGGAGGACAGAAGGTAGCCTAGCTATGAAATGGAAACATGAGGACCCCTTATGCTAGAAATATTTTGTATCTTGTCTGTGATGGTGGTCCCACACACATTACACAGAAAAAAAAAAAAAGACACACAAATGAGTGCACGAAAAAGTGGTGGAATCTGAACAGGGTTTGATGGAGTGAATCGATGTCAATTTCCTGGTTGTGCCATTGGGCTGTAGCTGCACAAGATGTTACCACTGGGGAAACTTGATGAAGGGTAGATGGAGTCCTCTGAATCATACCTGACATTTGTGTGTTAAAACATATGGACATTTCTGGTTGCACACACAGAAAAACCAGAGAATGGGAATGACAAAGGGGAGACTTTTCACTTTTCACTTGGTACTGTGTTTTTTTTCCCTTTTGTTTTACCGCATGCCTGCGAAACCTTCTGTTGTTAATAAATGCTTGTGTTTTGGGCCTGTAAAAAATAAAATTCTAGAAATTTTACTTAAGGAGTTTGTTTTAGAAGCATGTTTTTTGGTAAGCTTCAAATTTGAACTGCAATGCAAAAAAGTGGTTCAGTGAATTCTGAGTACTGACATAACTGCAAATTTTATATTGCACTAGGACTGTTGATGGAAGGGGAGGAGAGGAAGAAACTAATAGTAAGTATGAAACTCTTTGGGTTAGAAAAAAATTCCTTTATTTTAAAATACAGCTGCCTTTGGGGGCTTCCCCTTTTCTCACTGATAGTTACTTTGATGTGTCAACTGAGTAGGGGAAACTCAGAGAGCTGACAAAACATTTCTGAGTGTGTCCATGAGGGTGTTTCCAGAAGAGACTAGTATTTGAATCCACAGACTGAGTAGAGAAGGTGGCCCTCAGTAGCGTGTGTGGGGGTATCATCCAATCTGTTGAGGGCCTGAATGGAACAAAAAAGCAAAGGGCAAACTTGCTTTCTCTGCTTGCACTGAAACATGTGTTTTCAGACACAGCTGCTCCTGGTTCTCAGGCCTTTAGATTCTGGATTGGAACTATACCACCAGCCCGCTTTCCTGGGCCTCCAGCTTGCGGATGGCAGATTGTGGGACTTCTCAGTCTCCATAACCATGTGAGCCAATCCCTGATAATAGAACTCCTTTTATATATACCTATAAATAGTCTATTGTTTGTTTCTTTGGCGAACCCTGACTGTTGGAGTCTACTCAGCAGAAGTTCAGACATTATAATCTAAACTATATTTGTAAGGTTTAGTCTAGAAATTGTCTCATTCCTCCAGAGATTAAATTTGCTATAGATTAGGAAAATAGAATGCTAGACTCCTTGGAGGAAGATTGGGCAGAGCTGGGAGATATGAATCTACAATAAAAGATTATGTCACATTAGCCTGGGATAATATTTAGGATTAAGTTAAGCAAATGGTAACATTTCAAAAACAACTGTGCCTAAATGTGAATCTAAAACTTCTTTTATTTTTCCATTTAAATATATTTTTTCATATGTCAAAATAAATGATCATTTCAAAAAGTGTACAAATGAAATGGAAACATTTTGGCATATTTTATTCCAGGATTAATATATTAGTGTCCTCTATAATGTATTTTTATTACATCAAGACATAATTGAGATCCTACTAAGTAGTTTCATCTTTTTTCCAAATAATATTCTAAGAATTCCAATGTTGAAATTCTTTACAAGTAGAATTTTTGAGGGTGCCTGGGTGGCAAAGTCAGTTGAGTGATCCTTGGTTTTCGGCTTGGGTCATGCTCTCAGGGTCATGAGATCGGGTCCCATGCCGGGCTCCCCACTCTGTGAGGAGTCTGCTTGGGATTTTTCTTTGCCTCTCTGTCTGCCCCTCCCACTTTTGTGCATGCTCCCTCTCTCTCAAATAAATAAATCTTTAAATATATATATATATATAAAACTTCTTAAAGATTTTATTAATTTATTTGACACAGAGAGAGAGAGAGAGAGAGAGAGAGAGCACAAGTAGGGGAATCAGCAGGCGAGAGGGAGAGGGAGAAGCAGGCTCTCTGCTGAGTAGGAAGCCTGACTTGGGGCTTGATCCCAGGACCCTGGGATCATGACCTGAGCCAAAGGCAGCCCCTTAATGACTAAACCACCCAGGTGCCCCAAAACATATATAATTTTTGATGGCTATAAAACCTTACATCCAGGATGTACCATGACTTATTCAAACATCCTATTGTTATATATTAAGTTACTTGATATCACAGACACTATTGAGACAAGCATCTTTATTCACAAAACTTTTTCTCTACCACCATGCTGTCAGCATATATGAGAACTTCTATATGCTTAAATATGTAACTTCAATATATGAGAAGTAACATTTTAATTTGCTCTTATGTTTCTTATTGGACATTTTCCCATATTTTAAATTTATATTAACTGTACATGTCATGAAACCTTTGAAAAAGGGAGTGTGTATTTGGAGATGTACTTCTGGCCTTGGTGAGATTAGCCTAGTAAGGATCACTGGAAATCCTGGAGTACGCTGGAATAACAGAAGAGGGGAGAAGAGGAAAACTGCAAGTGAAGGGGGTTAAGAGAGGAAAATAAGCTCTGAGAGCAGAAAAAGCCAGAGGGCAGGGGCAAGAAATCCCCTCTTAATGCCTCTGGAGCCACTGAGCCATCAAAGACACATACCTGCTTCCCAACAGATGTCCAAGTATGGTTTCAGGGTATTGTCAACCAGGTCGAAAGACTACTGAAACAAAGGTCTTCTGATTATTGCACAGCTGGCACATACAGAGCAGGGCCTTTGGATAAATAATTGAGGGAGTGGGAAAGCTGTAGGTTTGTGTGGGAAGGAACAGGGGTTATACTAGGCCAGGGAGAGAGGCTCTGGGGTTTACTCAGGATCTGCTTTGTGGGTGAGCAACTTCCCAGGCCACGGCAACTTCAGCCTGTGGCCCTGTGCTGCCACCTTGCTCTGGTTCTGCTAGTCTGTGTCGTTGGAGCTGGTTCAAATATCTGGGCAGAAGCTTAGCCAAGTTCTGGCTTTTTCTGATCCTAGCTCCGTCTCAGGTACCGTGGCTGGTCAGAAGACCGTAACCTCCAAACTGGTTAGCTGCAAAATACATATGGCTTTTTCCATCCCTGAAGAGGGACTGTTTCCTCTCCTTCCACATAAGCTGCCCTGAGATGGGCAGCAGGGCTCACAGTATGGAAAGAGCTGTTCACCAACACCTAGAGTGGATAGGAGGTGACTGCAGGAAGAACATACAAACACCAGGGAGGACACAGATCCAGAAATATGATGCCTCATGGCATTATGTTTATTCTGAGGGAAAGCAGAGTTTGGGGCGACCCCCTCTACAACATCTCCCAGGACAACAGAGGAACCTCTATCAGAGAAACCAGAGTCCTAGTATCACACAGTGGAAGAAGGGGAAGCAGAAGGTCTGCTTTTTATCCCAATAGTTTTGCTTCTCCTGGCCATCCTTAAAGTCTGGCGTTTATGGCTGGAGGCACAGGGCCCATCCACTTCTCTCCTAGATGGAGAAAATCAGTCAGAGGCTGGCTCCACAAGCCCCGAGTGGTTTTCTAGGAAGAGCTCTGTTTGGCATCATTCTCTTCTATGGGGGTAAAAGTGGCCTTTTTCACATTCAGCCCTGAGAACCTCTGTGTATAAGGCTTCATTGCTGGAAATACATAGAATATTTTTTTTTGCTCTGTATCTGTCCTGGTCAACTGGTAAATGGGGGTGGGCTGGGGTTGAGGGCAGCTCACCATGAACCTGTAACTTACCCAGCAGGTGTGCCAGCAACTCCATCCGATCAGAGCCAAACAGCATGTGGGTTTGGTTATCCAGATGGGCCACTGTGATTGGCAACCCAAAAGCCTGGAGAGAGCAGTTAGTGCAGGGAGGAAGGTGATGGAGCAGGTGTTCATTATGGCTGGGATAGAAGGCTGAGTCGGTACTCGTCTGAGGTCATATAAGCAAAGCAGCCTAAAAGGTGTCTGCTAAGAGGCTCCACAGCTTTAGGAGTTTTCTGTTTCTAATTCTCAGATGCTCTGTCTTTCCTCTCACCATCTAGCTCCCTCCCTTCCTTTCCTTGGACTCTGGGACAAGAAAGGAAAGGATAAGGGTTGTCTGGACAGCTGGCAGGACTCATGTTGGGAGCAACTTTTAGAACAGGAGCATGGGGACCCAGCAGATGCTTGGCCTCAGTCTTCAGCACTGGGGTTGGGGACCCACATCAAGAATTGCTCACCCCATATTTACAGGCTGCCTCAGTGGTCTCCTTGAGCTTGTTCTTCACCTTTGGTGTTGAGATCTTTTCCAGAAGTCCCCGGGCTTGTTCTGAAGACATGCCAGCCTTCTCTGCAGCCTGAGGGAATGCGGTGGGGAACACAACTGTCTATTAGTGAGGTAGGGCTCAGAAGAAACTCTGGTCTTTATTTTCTGCTCCCATTTTCCTGGTAAGGCCTTTACTCACCCACCCACAGAGGTCTATCTTTGCTAAGAGGGCCTGTTTCCCCCCCACCTTAAAATCTTGTGATTGGTGGAAAGAACAGGGTGCAGAAATTTAAAGCCAGAGGGCATCTTAGAAACAAGCTCCCTAACTTATTAACCAAGAGGGGACTGCTGCCCAGAGGCAGTACATGACTTGGTTGGCATTAAAGAACTTGTTAGTAGCAGAGCCAACACTGGAATCCAAGTCTGGGCTCTTGCCTTTCTACTTCTCAGAATTCCTGAGTATCTTGTACTTTTTTTTTTTTTTTTAAATCAAGGGCTGGGCTATAATTCTCATGGCATTTCCCGAGGACTTTTGAGCAGGGCACAGGGAGATAGTCACCAGCAGGGCTTAACAAGAATAAACGTTTCTATTTGGGGTTTGTTGGTATCATTTGGGATTAGTGGTTCTCAATGTTGGCTGCATCCTAGAATCTTCCGAGGGGGCTTTTTAAAAATCCCACTCATAGGTCACCCCCTAGAAAAATTACATCATAATTTTTGGTAGGCAGTGCCCAGGTGCTCCAGGTGACTAAAATATACAGCCAAGGTTGAGAACCACTGTAGTCTGACCTCCTCAACTTGGAGGGGGAGACGGAAAGTCATGAAGTATATTCTGATGTGACAGGGTCTTTGAGTTGGCTACATGAGAGAATTGTGTCCCAGACCAAATGTTCAACAACAGGGAAACAGTTAAGTAAGCAAAAGAAGGCCCACTGAATGGACTGCTGTGTAGAAACTAAGAATGATACTTTCAAAGAATTTACAATGGTATGGAAAATGATTGTTACTCAGTAATAGAAAGACAAGCCTGTGCATATACTTTGCAGGAATAAAAACACCGGAGGAACACATTGGTCATTCTTTGTTGATTTGCCATTTTATGTATTAAATCTGAATATACCTCAACTATCTTTTGTAAACTGCAGGGAAAATACCATTTTGAATTTCCTGATTTAATCCCAAAGACAAACTTACTTTTTATACCCCCATCTATGGCTGGCACACATTTAAATGTTTTGAGCTATTTCCGTGTGTTTCCACTCAGGCTTCTGTGGGATTCTGGCTTGAGTCCGTTATCTCTCTCTCTCTTTTTTTTTTTTTTTTTTTTTCTTTTTAAAGCCTGTCTGTAAAGTCTCATGCTTTCTACTCTGGATATATCAGTGAGGTCTGGTGTTGGGAGTGTTTGGGGCCAATACTTCATCTCTCCCCACCTGGGGGTGCCAACATGTAACATCTCCCTCCCATTGAGTTCTTTCATGAAATAAAATCTACCCATGTAGAATTTTGCACTTTCCCTTTCAACCATGAGATCTATTCTTTTGAGAGTCCTCTGAGTTCCAACCTTTCAGGAATTTGGCTCCTCAAATACAGATATCCTTTCTCCCCAAATAACTATGACCTCTTCCACCCAATATGAAAACTGTGTCCTCTTTGCCCCTAAATGTCAGCTATTTTCAGCTTTACTGTAAGAAGGGTGGGGACAGAGCCAGGATACTCACAGCCAGGATGCTCTGGGGCTCCGTGATGTCTTCATCCTGCGAAGAAGAGAACACTAGGCAGGAAGGGGGCAGCGAGGGGTGAGATGGGTGGACAGTAGGCCAGTGAACAATGGGCAGGACCAGGACTCTGGAAATCAGGTTCTAGGGGAAGGTCAGCACGTTATCCAGGGTCTCCCAAGTAGGTTCCCAGAGCTGTGCCCTCACCCGTGACCAGACACGCATCCATAGTTCCCTGGACACTTTCTCCAGCATCTCTGGGTGTTCCATGCTCACAGCAGTGAGGAATCTCATGGCTGATAAACTTCCTGTGGGGCAGAGGTACTCAGAGGCAGGGTTCTTCTAGCTTGTTTCCCATGGAGGACAGGCTCTTTCCTGCTTCTGACACCCCCAGAGCAGCTCAACTGCCCTCACCCTCCCACCCAAATTTCTCATAACTGGTGTACCCTGTCTTCTTCCCCTCAGGTCCCCACAAGCTGCTGGTCACTCAGCGCTGACCTGTGTTTTCCCACGCTTTGTTTCATTTCATGTAGTTGCCAGCCCCTACTTCCTGGCCTTTGCTGCCTTCCACTTGATAACCCATCTGTATCTCACTCTACCTTTTTCAAGGATAACAGAGAAGAAATCCTTGGGCAACTGCATGGGAACCTGGACATACTGTCCCAGGAGCCTGACATCATTTCTCAAGTACTGGGCTTTGCGGGGAAGCAGAGCTGGTGGCTGGTTTCCTGCAAATGGAAATTTGGGCACACTGGTGAGAGTCTACCTGAGGGTCCCAGGCCTGGGGGGACCCCTACCCGGGTTTCAGCAGAGTGAAAATTACTAGCTGCTGGTGCCTATATAAAGACCCGTTTGAGGGCAGTCCCCCTGGACCTTTGGAAGCTGCCCTCCCTCAAATCCCTGTCCCAAACATTTTTGCCTTCACACCACTGTCTTTCATGATCCCTGCAATGAAGCTGGGGCGCAACTGCAGGCTGATGTTCCAGATGTTCTTATACCGGCACAGGACCTGAAGGAGCAGAGGTGGAGATGGGGAGCCAGTATGTAAGATGGACAAAGTGAAAATGGCCTAGGGAGGGGGAGGGGTGTTCTATGGCAACTGATTAGCCAGAAGCTCTAAGTGCAGAAGAGTAAGGGTTATGCGAACACCCTAAACGATTTGTTTTTAAACGGCAAAACTCCACTCCCAGAAATCAATCCCATGAACTTTGCTCCGTCCCAAGACATCGATCCCAGGATCTTTGCTCAGTGGACAGCTACCATCCTATTCTGCACGGCACCCCCACCCCCAAACTAACCTCGGAGTAGGCTAAGAGGTGGGTATGCCATGGATTTCTCCTTGATTCTTTGGAGTTACCCCCCACCCCCTTATTCCAAACATTCGTGCGAAACCACTGCCTTAGGCTATAAAGGGTCGATCTGGAGCCAGCGACCGTCTCCCGTTTAGAGACATAAAGTGACTTTCAACCCTGGCTGGTAGCGCCAAGAATTTCACGGTCCCCGGGCCCCGCCTCCCCACTTCCTCTGCCCTTGCCCTCCAAGCCCCAGCCAAGGGGGCTCCCGGAGTCACCTCGAAGCCCAACCAGGAGTAGGGGGACAGCACATCGTAGAAGAGCTCCAGGGTGCGCGGCACGGGTCCCATGCTGCAGCAGCGCGCGTTTCCCTCGGCCCGCGCGGCGACCCCGCCCCGCTTCCCGGCCTGCCCGGGAGGACCGCCCCCGTCTCCGCTGCGCAGGCGCGCGAGGAAAACCGCCCAGGGCCAAGTGTGGCCGAAGGGCGCTTGGGGCTGGGCCCCCTGGGGAGGGCGTGACTCCCAGCGACACACCGCCCCCACCAGCACCCCCGCCCCGCCCCCGGCCGCTCCGCGCGCCTCCTGGTCTCCGCCGCTGTCCGGGGCCCAAGCAGGTGTTTGAGTTGTTTATTGGCCCTCTCACTTAGCTGTGCTGCTTTGGCAGGCCCCAGTACCTCTCTGAACCTGTTTCTTCGTCATTCCTCTTTAAAATGGACCTACGTGATGATAACCCCTACCTCGTATAGCCTTGTGAGGATGGATACATGTTAGTTATTGGCGTGACTTGGCACTTGCAGGAACTTTCTGAGACGGGGCAGGGGCAGAGTAAGAAGTGCCCAAATTATACATTTTTTGTACTTTTCGGAGAGTGAGTGCAGGAGAGAAGGAGGCCTCTCTGCCACGATAATCCCAAAGAGAATGGAGAATGGTGTGTCCTATTTCTATTTGTGAATATGTCATATCCTCTTACACTGGGATTAATTACATTTACTGCAGGGAAATAATTTCTTAAATATCTTTTTAATTTTATTAAAATTATTCTTAATGTTACTAATTTTATGAATTGGAAAACATAACAATAAAGATTCCACTTCTCATTTGTATTCATTAGAAAAACAACCTTAAGCTACTAGAACACAAAGACTGTAAACATTTACATAGAGTAGAACATACGAAATGAAACAAGGATGCTATTTTCACCCACTTGCAAATTGAATTAATTGCTTTGGAATAACTGAAACTGAAAAATTACACATTTCTCCAGTAATTTTAATTTAAAAGTATCCAAGAGCAAATTTAGACCCATACTAATATTTTATTTTAAAAGTAAGTCATCACTTATTTTTAAAAACTTTAATATTTAGGAATGACTTTGAGATTTACAGAAGAGTTGTAAAGATAGTACAGAAAGTTCCTAGATACCCCTTATCCAGCTTTCCTTAACGGGGACACCTTACATAACCATGGTGTGATGATCGAAACTAAGAAATTAACGTTGGTACATTACTATTAACTAGATGATGGGCTTCATTCAGATTTCATTTTTTCCACAATTATCCTGTTCTGTTCCAGGATTCATTCCAGGCTACCACGTAGCATTTAGTTGTCCTTCTCTTTAGTCTCCTCCTATCTGTGAAAGTTTCTTGACTTTTTCTTGTGTTTCTTGACCTTGACACTTTTGAAAAGTATTGGTCACGTGTTTTGTAGAATGTCCCTCAATTTGGGTTTGATGTTTTTTTTTTATGTCTAGGCTGGGATTGGAATATTATGGAAGTATACCACAAAGGTGAAGTGCCCTTCTCCTTGAATTATGTCAGGGGTTCCTGATACTAACATAACTTACTAGCCATGATGTTAACCTTGACCTTTTGGGTAAGGTGGAAAAAACTGTCAGGTTTCTCTATGGAAAAATCACTGTTTCTGCCTTTCCATAATCTATTGTTTGGAAGGGAGTCATTAAGTACAGCCTAGTTTGGAGGTGGGAGTACTGGCTGAGTAGATTAAGCCCATCTCTTGGAGGGAAGGACATAAAAGAATTTGTGGCTGTTTCATAAAACCACCCATATTTTTGGGGAGATATGTTGAAGCTATGAAATGTCCTGTTTCTCCTTAAAATTTCACCTGCCAATTTTCTCATTCATGGTAAGGTAGATTTTGCCTACAGCAATTATTACTATGGTGTTCTAATGGTGATTTTCTATTTCCCTTGTTTCTTCTACGTTTATTAATTGAAATTCTGAAAGGAGAATTGTTCCATTTATGTATTTATCTATTAATTCAGTCATTTATTTATATCATATGAACTGATGAATATTTTAAGAATCATAGAATGGTAAAACATTGATCTGAGTCTCTACATCCTGCTTCCATCTACTATTAGTATTATTATTATTATACTGGGCTCTGAGTAGGAATAACAGAAAAATATTTACACTTCTTTACACATGCTGAGAGGAGTGCCTAGGTACTGACTAGAATTGTTGGAACAAGAAATAGTGGTGTAAGCCAATTATTTACAGTTGCAAAAGTAACTAATAAAGGGACTAAATATGATGTGATTATCAAACTTAGGAGGGGTGGAAAAGGGGTGGGATATGTAAACCAAATCCTTATCTTTCATGGTCAATGATATTGTCTACATTTGAATCATCATTAGAGCTTTGATCATGTAATTTGGAATTAAGTATTTGAAACCACAAATGCTTTAAATAAACTGCCTTCCCAAATAAGTAAAAGATGGATTGTCTGATAAATGGTTTTGGGTCATCTGGGAGGTTAAAACATAATGTAGCTGGGCCCATACATCACACCTTATGCAAGGAACATGGCTAGCCTGATTGAATATTTTATTTTAAAAAAAGAAACCTCTAAAGTACCTGAGGAACTTATGGAAAAACCTTTAAAAAAATCTGGGAGTAACTGGGGCACCTGGTGACTCAGTGGTTTAAGTGTCTGATTTCAGTTCAGGCCATTCTGGGTCTTGGGATGGAGCCCCAGCATCAGGCTTCTTGCTCAGTGGGGAGTCTCTTTGTCCCTCTGCCTCTACTTCTGTCCCTCCCCCTGCTTGTGCTCTCTCTGTCACTCTCTTAGAAAAATAAAATCTTCAAAAAAAAAAAAATCTAAAAGTAGAGACCCCTTTGTTAGCGGTGATACTAAATGTAGAAACTTTAAAAGATTTATACATTCAATTACATAAAATTTAAAAAATTTGGCAAACTCCAGTAAGTCAAAAAATAACTGGGAAAAAATATTTGGGTTCATTTCATAGTCAAAAAGCTAATTATCCTAGTGTAGAAAGAGCTACAAAATCAATAAAAGAACAGAAGCCCCTTGGAGAAACGGGCCAATGATATGAACATAGACAGAAATGGACGCATGGCACATAAAAAATTGTGTTTGTATATACTTTTAAAAAAGTTGTGAATCAGGATTACACTATGATATGTTTTTATTTATCCAGTTGGGAGAGATCAAAAAGTTTGATGACTCAGGGTGTTGGCAGGGATTTGTGGAAAATCATTGTCTTATGCAACTGGTGGGTGTGTAAATCGGTACAACCTCTAAGGAGGGCAGTTTAGCAATATCTTTCTATTTTGCAAATATACACACCCTTTGACCTAGCAATTCCATTTTTAAGAATTTATATTATAAATATGTTTGCCTTCAGGCAATATGATAGGCTATGGGTTTATTTATTATGACATTATTTATAATAGCAAAAGTTTGGAAACTACCTAAATGTTCATAGACCTGGAACTAATTCAATTCACCACGATTATAATATTTTTCAACTTTATTTTTTATTTTTATTTTTTTTTAAGATTTTATTTATTTATTTGACACAGAGAGAGAGATTACAAGTAGGCAGAGAGGCAGGCAGAGAGAGGGAGGGGGAAGCAGGCTCCCTGCTGAGCAGAGAGCCCCAATGCGGGGCTTGATCCCAGGACCCTGGGATCATGACCCGAGCCAAAGGCAGAGGCTTTAAACTACTGTGCCACCCAGACACCCCTATTTTTCAACTTTAAAAAGAATTTGGAAGCTCGCTATTTTTTAAAATTTTTTTTAAAGGATTTTATTTATTTATTTGAGACAAAAAGATACAGAGAGAGAGAGAGAGAGCATGAGCTGGGGGAGAGGCAGAGGAGAGGGGTAGGCAGACTCCCTGCTGAGCCAGGAGCCCGATGTGGGACTCAATCCCAGGACTCTGGGATCATGACCTGAGCAGAAGGTAGACACTTAACAATCTGAGCCACCCAGGCACCCCCGGAAGCTCTTTAAATATTAGTATTGCATCATATCCTATGTATTAATAAGTGAAAAGCAAGATTCAAAACAGTGCATATTATTCGCTGTTTTTTTTTTTTTTTAAGGGTTGCCATGCTTTCTAAGTGCGTGGTGTATATATACACATATGTGCATGTTGGTAACACTGGGTGGAGAGATGAAATTGGTGAAACTGGTTGCTTTTGAGGAGGGAAGCTGGGGGTCTGGGGCAGGGCAAGACAAAGTTTTTGTTGGATGTAACATTTAACCCTTTGATTTGCGACCCAAGTGAATATCTTATCTACCCAGAAAGAAAGGCAGGAGGAAAGGATAAAGGCAGGAAGGAGGGAAGAAAAAGGAAGGAAGGAGGGAAGATGATTTTGGGAATTTGTACTGGCAGAACAGGGAGGGGATTGGAAGGAGACTTAGGTATCTGATTTATTGCCATTTGTATATTTTACTTTGCTTAAGGAAAATGTCAGTTATGAAGGCCATGGAGCAGCATGTGTGACACAGTTTTAAGGTACAATATTTGCCAAGATGCAACGGAGTATTTACATCTTTGTTCTCAAGGCCTGACATTTTCATAAGGATTTACCAAGGAGTGTGTGAAATTCTGTGTGCTAGGTTTGTCCCTGAATAAATCGTGCCAAAATGCAAGACAGTGAGGTTGACATTATTAGGGTTCTAATCTTGGAAACACTGTGCTCTATTAAAAGAGATCAACCTTGGCAAACTGGTGTACTTGAAATATAACTATAACAAACTTAGTTGGACCATCTCACAGTTTGCTGTTCATCAGGTCATACCAGTGTGACAACATTGCAGCTGAGAACAGCTAATATGTGCTTTCATTAAACCCTTATAAAACACATATGCATGTGGGTGAAAATTAAAGAAAACGAAAATAATTCTATTAGGGATTATACATAATTTTTCTTAATTTCTTAGACTCTCCTTAAGGCTTTGATAATGTCTTTATTTATTTTTTTATGGAAGAGCTTTGTTGTGTTATAACTGACATGCAATAAACTGCACATATTTAAAATGTACCTTTAATAAGTTTTGACATCCGCATGCACCCATGCAATCATCACATGATCAAGATAGCAAACATAGCTGCAAACTTCCTTGAGACCCTT